TCCTGTTAAGGTTTGTAGCATGTGTTGAACTTAAAAAATAGTTCTTAAACTTTACATTGTTTGCTGTATATTTAAAAGCACCTTTGAGCCTGGATTAGCTACTAAGTGATGGTGTAGTTATCTAATGTAGTTGATCAGACAGCAATTACTCAGTCCAGTCATTCTTTCCTTCTGCTTTGTGTTTTACAATGATTTTAAACAGCAGCCCAAGACGAATGGCTGTGGGAAAACCTAGACATATAGACTCTGGTTTTGTCTGTCTTTGGTGTCTAAGAAAAAGGCTCATACCTTGATGTTGCTGAATTTTAGACATTGCTTTACTTTTTATATTTGCTTTGACTTACTAGCATTAATGTGTAATTTTAACAATGAATTGTACATGGCTAAGCATTAGAGCTTCTAGTTTATACACAGGGCGTAGAAGAGGTGAATTTCCTGTAGTGTGGCAGGTCTGGAACACAAGGCCTTCAGTTTCTCTCATGAAGAAGGTTCCCCATTTAGCAGATCTTCTGATCTATGGGTTTGGAAATGCTTCCTCACTGGCGACTTACCAACATAAGCTGCTAATAAGATAGATAAGTCAACAGAATATCTTAAAGGGATTGTGGCAACGTGTTCCTAGTCACCAGTTTGTCTGAAGTCTTCTCTGATCCATCATGGACTTCTCTTGTTCATTTACAAGGGTCTAAAAGTAAGCCATTTTGCCTCTCCAACCAGAACTTGGTACTGCTCTAGTGATTAGATCAGACCCACAGAACTGATAAATAAACGTAAAGTTGGAATCAGGTCTTTGGATCTGCTTCAAGCTCTTACCTTGTGTGTTGAACATAAATTGCAGGGTTTACTGTTTTTATGCATTAGTGCTCAATTAGTTCATACATGAACACCCAATCAATTAATGCATGAGCACCCAATCAGTTCATGCATGAGCACCCAATTAATTTACTAATGAGTGCCCAGCTGGCTCACACACAAGCACCCTAATAACTCATGTCTGAGCACCCAATTAGCTCACGCATGAGCACCCACTAATTCATGCCTGAGTACTGCGTCAGGCATATATTGACAGATGTTGGTAGCCAGGGGCCGTGGGTGTCGGAGGAGGCCAGGAACTGAAGGGTGCTGCTCACAACTGGCCCAGACGGCTCTGAAACTGATGGAAAACCCCACTGCTGAGTATAACCCTCTGGTGGAAGCAAGGGAAGTTGATACTAGGAAAGGGGTGGATAAGTATTTGGCTTAAATTGAGCCTGGGAAAGGGTGTTTGCTTAAGTGGTTGCTTAATTGTTTATATTTTCTTTCTTCTCAATCTGAATTAGTGAATAGATTAATTGGCAATAAATTAAATTAAGTAAAAATTCTACAAATCAAGACAGTTTTGCTTGTGACACCTGGCTGCAGTGCTAGGGAGTGGTGAAAAATCTCTAAATTACTGTAGGGATTAGTTTATAAAGGAATAAAAGCCTTAAATATGAGTAATTAACATCTATTCAGCAATGTCCCTCTTTAAAAATATATTACAGGAGAACCAGAGGAAAAGCAGTGGAATCCCATTAAGCAGATTAATTGAATTAGGGTTTGCGTGTTTACTTTCTTTGTTAACAGTGCTATGCAGTGTTCCAGTTTGTCTCGTACATTTTGATAGATGACTTATTTGTTTGCATTTGCCCAACTACTCACTTTTAATTAGATTTTAAGGTATTATGTTTTGGGAAGAAGCTGAACCTAACCCATGCCTGCTTCACACAAATGAGTTGTCCTTACTTTCATAAACTCCCATGCTGGCTTTGGTTGCACAGATTACATGAGTGAAATGTACCCACTGGGAGTGGAAATTTGCAGAATCGGAGCCAAGGCTGCTATACCTTCCTAGGGCGTGAAGTCCTTGCATAAGAACCCTATTTATTCTCCAGTCCCCTTTCACAGTTCTAGCATGTATTTTCTCCCACTTTTCTTTTCACAGCCAGACTGGGCGATGTTGGCCATACCAGGGCTGAGACACAAATCTTGGCTGTTATTATAATGCTAAGTTGTGTTGTAGCTTTTTGACCATTGGCCACATTGGAAGACCATATTGCCTCTTTATTCTAAAGTGCACGAATTGAGTATTAATAAATAAATAAATAAATAAAAAATAAAGAGAGAGAGAGAGAGAGATACAGGAGATACAGGGAAATACATCAAAACTCCTCAGTGCCAAATCTTTGTTTGTTTGTTTGTTTTTCCTGGTGGAAGCATTATGCTGGGATCTCTGTGAATACTCTGTACAGCTGGTATAACCTGTCTCCCTGCTATCATTCTTCGCAGAATTTCCAAATTCTGAGAGGCATAGAGAGAGCCTGAACTCAAATCTGCAAAAATTGGTATCCATTTCTGATTTAGTCTGGAAGGGCAGGTCAAGGCAGTTAGGAGGAGCTGACCAAATACTGCAAACATAAAAAAAATCAAGAATGTTTTTCTCCATCTGAGCTGGTGATGCTGTGTACACCAACACATTGATTCCTCCTAGCTGTCTTGTTGCTTTAAATTGGTAAGACATTATGAGTATAAATTGTTATTATTATTTCATAAAGATCAGCAGACAGAAAAAGATGATGTGAAGGGGTTTCTGGCATTAGGGCTCTCTTTCAGTTTTACATTTCAAAGGAAGCTATTGAACAATGCAATTATTTGTTCAGAGACCCTTGGGAACACAAGCTAAGATCACAGAGTCCTTCATCCTAGGCTCTGGACACAGGGAGGAAAGGAAGGAGAGAGAATCCTTGCTGAATAAGAGTCTGGGTTAAGTCATAGTGGCACAGTGCTTTGCCCAAAGTCACACAGCAAGTCAGCAGCAAATGCAAGAATAAAATCCAGAATCCCGACTCAGTACACTATTCAGTAAACCCCATCAACTTAGCAACATAAGTTATGTCCCTCGGTCTAATTAATCTATTCAGCAATTCAGTGAATAATTTAAGTGCAAGCAAAAACAAATGCCAAGTGAAGTGACAAATTCTGCTGTGGCTTGGGCTATTTATTTTACTCAGGAGAAGGTGTTTTCCTGAATGAATCTGCAAAAGCGTCAGGAGGTATTTTGTACCACCACTTTGTCTCTTGTCTGTCTGATAAGCCATTTAAGGCATATTCAATATAACAGAAATATAGTGACTGGGAAAGAAACAGGTGAAAACAAACTCGCCCCTTTATTTTAAAGTGCATGAATTGAGTATAAAAAAAAAAAAAAAAAAAAAAAAAAAAAACACTTGGCCACAAGTAGGTTGCATAACTTAAGCCAGTCTAAAATTATGTGCCAGCAATTTACATGAGTTTTATGTAACTGTTTATACTGCTGTTTATTTAAAAATTACTACTTATCTTGGCTACCGCAGCAACACATCGTGCATTTGCTAGCTCTGGAATACAGGGCACCTTCATTAAAACACATAGTCACCAATATATTAAACACACAAAAAACCCCTGCTCTGACATAACGTGAAGTGTCAGATGGAAAGCCGCAACAGCGAAGACATTCAGTGTTCATGACAAAGCAGGCCTTTGGGGTGTTCAGAACAGGACTGGAACATGCTCCATCCTTAATTCACCCAACAGCTCTCAGGTCCTTTACAGCACAGTTGGTACACTCTACAAGACCAGCTCTTGTTCCTAGGCTCTTATAAAGGACCCTCTTCATCTTCAGGTTTTTATACTTGCATATTTTTATATTGAACTTCTACATTGCTGAAGCACCCAGCCTTTTGTTCTTTCTTAAAGTCCCAAGTACTTCAGAGCTACACAGATAGCTGATACTTTTTGTTTACTACCAGAGCAGTCTCTCCCAACACTCTCTTGGAAAGGAGGCAAAGATTTAGCATGATGGGTTGCTCATTCACAAAGTCGCAGGGATTTCCCCGTCTACAGTAGAATTATTAAGAGATGAATTTCACTATGTTTTTGATAGGTTTGCCTGAAAGTTTAAGTCTGAAGGTACAAGTTATTAAAGCACAGAGGTATGACTTGGTGATTAACCTTAACTCTAATCCTGGTAGCTGTCATTACAAAAATATAATTTAAGAAGGAGAGATTGTTTTCTTATCTGCAGCAATCAGTTCCCCACTTGCATGTATTTAAAAAAAAACAAACTTGTGGTAGCTTTTCATGGTCTGTTTGATACTATTTTACAGTCACATTAATTTTTGCAAGGAATGAGGAAGAATACTGACAGCAGGATGGTCATTTCAGACCCTGTAAGTAGAAACTGGACAACAACTGTGGTCTGTACAAGTTGATGGAAGCACTTTGGTGAAGGTGCCCTTTGTAATTCATGCTGCAGAACAGTTTGGGAGGGATCTGCCAGCCCAGAGCCACTTAGTGCACTTCAAAAGTGGACAAGACAAGGCATAGATCCTTTCAGAACTCTAATTTCAGTGACCATTGCAGGACCAGGCTTGGACAAGAGAGCCAAAGCCGACTGAAATCAACAAGGAGAATAGTCAGTGTTGAATCTATCCAATTGGTTATTTCTACACAGAGCAGCCAAGGCTAGGTGATTACGGTTTTGTGGTCCTGTGGAACCCAAAGGACTCTAAGCCTATGCTTATCTATGCAAATATTATTGCAAAACTGTGCTTTTTGTTGGTTTTGATATATAAACTGTCTAATGGAATTAGCAGGTCCAAATCCTCTACCTACTCTTTTCCAGTGCTTCCCTTTCTTTAAAAGGAAATTGTTTAACAGAGAGCAAATGTTGACTGAATGTGATTTGTATTGCAGTGTATTTTTAAGCATTCTTTCCTGAAAAGCTTTTGAGCAATATTTTGCTTTTCTTTCTCATACACGCAGTTATAATTTAATTATTGTATAAAGTTTTCCTAAACATTATTGCTAAATAGGACTTTTAGTATCCACATGGAATGGTAAACTGCTAGAAGAAAAGTTAACCTGTGAAGTTATTAAAGTACTTTGATTTCTTTTCTTGGACTGTAATCTTATTCAATTTGTTCCCACTACTTGTTTCCTAGTGGAATGGAGCTGTTCAGAAGACTTTTCTCCCTTGGTTGGTGAAATAATTATGGATAATCTTCAGTCTTTGAGGTGCTCCATCACAGGTCTCAAAACAGTAAGTGCCAAATGATTCATTTAGATCTTGATGCCCCCTGCTGCCCCAGTGATAAAAAGGCACTGATAATTTGCATCCATGCCTGTTGTAACAACTGCAGAGTGCCTTTCTTCTAACAGCAAGTTCCAGTCATTAAGCATAATATGTCTGGTATCCATAATCTGAAATTCACAAAGGAATAGACAGACAGCATGAACTGGTTTATAAGTTGTCATGCTTAGGGTAGAGCCAAAAGGGTTGGAATGAAAGCTGCTGTTTTCTGGATCACAGGATAATCTTAGTGCAGATCAAAGGCTCATGAAAGATCTAGTCCTGACTCTAATGACAGACAACTAAAATAACTTCTTTCTCTTCTGCTTCTTTCAGGAGCACATTTGATGGCAGTCATTTTCATTTTTGTTATTTATTTTTGTATACTTATTTTACGCTGATAAGAACTGGGTCAACAATAGAGAAAATTCATGAATATTCACATGTATTCTCAACCAGAATAGTTCAGACCATGTGCCTGAACACCTTCTTTCTATCGCCTGTTCAGGACCATTTGTGTAAGCAAATTTGATTTCACAAAATACCTGATGAAAATGAAGCTTGCTTAAAATACACACAACTATTTCCACTGGAAACATCAACAGCAGCCCAAGCCAGCATCCATTGAACTTCAGTCTTTCCACTGAACTCACTGCACACTGAATCAGACCTACAAAGTTATAGTAGGGGGAGGCATGTTTCAAAAGCCATTGTCCAGGGCCCTAATACATAGGGTCTCAAAATGGGAGAATTAATATTAAAGGCTAAGAAATGGGCACAGTATAAAACCCCAATTTTATGTAATAGAATAATATATATATATATAAATAAATATTTTTTTCCTAGCCTTTTCTCTGGAGAAATCTTTGATTTGTCAAGCTGTTTGCTAGGGAGCTGAGCCACAATATGCATTTCCTCTGCTTTTCATTTTCCAGCAACAAAACAAAGTAATTTCTTAAGTTAAAAATCAAGCAAACTTGCACAGTCAATTTCTTAGACATGCTTAAGAACAGTGCTTACGATGTGTTTGTCTATAATCTCCGGAGTATATAACATCTGTAAATGAAAACTAAACTTTCAGAAGCACTTTCCATTGGCCTAGGTTTACACATCAAGATAAGTGATAAAGGTCTGACTGATTTCAGTGGCAGCCAGATGAAGCTTCTTCAGCTGCTGTGCTTGTAGCAAGAAGGAGAAATGAGACCTCCTTACTCTTGAAGTAATTGTTCCCAGGACTCTGCTGTGGTAGAAGAAATTACAATTTGTCAATTGGAATCAATGTGTTCTGTTAACCCTCTGAAAATCACCTGCCCTGAAATCTTTGTGCTATTCTTCCATCTGTTATGGTTCATTAGTTGACACCCCTACGAGATTTTCAAAGGAAATTGGGGAGGGACTGCTCTCTAGTTATAACAGCCAAGGTTTTGAGTCAAATGTAAGTTTTGACTCCAGTTGTTTCCATTTTCAGGGTCAGAGGTATTACGTTCATGTTTCAGCATACAACATGAAAGGATGGGGACCTCCACGCAAATCTACTCCTGCATATGCTTCTCCTTCAAGTAGGTTGAGCTTGTTTGCACTCCCAGTTTGATTATTCATGTTGCTGTCAGAATTTCTGGCTCTTCAAAGACAAGAAAAAAAAAATTGCTGGAATTCATGATTTAGTTAGCATGTCATTTAGAAGTAAAATAAGTAAATAAATACAATTGAACTCCTTTCACTACCCCCCAATATCATGTTAATTCATTTTTCTTATTTTTTATTCTTCTCCAGTCCTTCAACAGAACGTTGTCCTCTAGTCACTAACATTACCAAAAAAAGCAATCTTTTGACTTTCATTTATTTTTTCTAGAGAGTTCGGTTTTATGGAACTTCTTTTGTAAGCACATAAAGAATCAAAACTTGAATTCCAACTGGTAGAACCAAAATACTTGCACATATCATATTTTGTCTTCTATCTTGTAGCATTATACATCCTATCCATTGAACCATTGTTATAGATTTCAGTTCTGAAGTTGGTGGAGCTGTGGGATGCATGCAGTATGTAAAATACTCTAGTATGGATACATGTTTTGGTAGAATCTAGCCCATAAACAAAAAATGTTCCAGACACCCAAAAGCCTTTTTTCTGTTTCAAACTTATGGCAGGTATTCTCAGATTCCATTAGGGCTATAAATTTTTGTTTGTAGTTTTTAATCTGCTATAATCACATTCTATTGTTAGTCACTTTTCCAGGCTTAGTGTTCGTTGCTGAAATGGCTCAGCATATTATAGTTTCCTTGTATTGATTAGTGCAGTAAAGTTGGAGTTTTCATTTTATTGCATTAGCACTTGTTTTTATTAGGCTAATGTAACAATTTAATAACCTTGCATGCTAATGTGAGAAAATAAAGCAAGCTGTACCTAGTCTCAATGGTGGTAATGGAGAGGGTTGGATAAACAAGGCTCTTGCAGTACCATTGTCCCATTTCACTGCAATTTTGCTCTTGTTTACCACAGAATAAAGACAAAACTATGCTAAAGAAATATTCTGTTTGCAAACAAAAATGTGCTACAATCGTGGGAGAAAATTCTACTCTTGGTTATGTGGATAACTCCGTTGGAGACAAATTTCTTAATACCTTGATCCACCATTATTTTGAGTCAGGAAACTGTAGTGTAATATTATTTATTACAATTAAAGTATAAAAATAGTCAAATCTGGAATAAAAAAGCTCTTATCTGATAGACACAGTTTCATCCTCCAGTTTGTGAATGGATTGTCTACTTTTTAAAAGCTAGACAGATTATAGCTAGCAGCAAAATAACAGCGAAACACTTTTGTAGGTTCAGGGGATGCGGGACAGAAACCGCAGCTTCTGGCCTCTTGAGTGCAGTGCTGAGCAGACTGTAGACTCCAGGGCAGGAACTGTTCATTCAGGTGTCTTTGCTGGGTGTAGGTTTTCAGAAATTCTTTTGCTCGGAGTGTGTTTCTGTGGCTACAGAGCTAACTCAGGATGTAGGAAGATGTTCAACCTCTGCTTTGCAAGAAGTTCCCTCTATAACTGCAGGAGAGTTATTTAGCGTCCTGGTGCCTCAACAAAATGCAGAATGAGCAGTAGTATGATTTTAGGGAGGTACTGAGAGGGTCGGGATGGTACGGGCTGAGAGCAGCTCTGACGCTAAAGCAGCAGAGGCCATTTATGTACTAAAGAGAAATAGCTATTGTCTAGTCATTCACTACAGGAGCTACTGGGAGGTGATTGTGAGCTCTTTGTTAATAATCATTATGATTAATTACCTAGCTGGAACAAGGCAAAGGAAGCTTATTGTATAAGCAACAACAGCAGACTTAAAAACAACTGTCATTTTCTCCTGTATGCCCAGATGTAAGAATCCCATAAAGCCCAGAAATATCAGAGGCAAGAAAATATTTTAAAACCTTCTCCTGCTCCTTTGTGTTTCATTCCTGTTTATTTCCTTTGTTCAATAGACTGGAAAGACTGCAGTGGAAGAGAACCTCGGCACAGGGGACACACTGAGGCCCTGGAACGTCTCCTTCAGCAGGTTCGAGCAGCTCATCAGCATTATAATTGCAGAGGTAAGGATAAATATCTATGTGGTAGGGCACCAGCTGAAGCCTCCGTGGCGCCTGTAATTTTAGCAGTTCTCTAACTAGGTCATACCTTCTCATTCATCAGGAAAAGAAAGATATTAATATTGGCCCATCTGGAATCACTTTAGCATACTATCTTGCTCTTAACCCTTGAAATTAGTTGGATGAAAACATCTGAAAGCTAGAATGTGCACAAGCAGAGACACACCCTTTCTCCCTCTGTACCCTATGCACCTATTGATTTGCTTATTCCTACAAATCAGTTTTACACCGGATTCTGCTAAAATGCTCCAAGGATCTTTCCTTTTTTTTTTTTTTTTTTTTCATATAAAGAAATATTTTAGACATTTAACAACTGGTTTGGATCAAAAGAGGGACTTGGCTGCCTCCAAATGGAAGACACTAAGTACTCCACTGGATGTGATGCCAATCTATAATGAAAAATAGTTGCACAATGCAGTGGGAAGATAAGATTGCTACATTTTCAAATAGAATGGATCAAAACTGGGAGAGAGCTCGAATCTCAGCCAGCTCTTTGCTCTTCATTCATGAGAAACAGACTGTGCCTTTAATAGTTCAAGAGCCAAGGCAACAGCTTGGCATTCTTTTTAAAGAATATATAAAAACTCCTGTTCTATATGGGTTGTTGAAAAGTGCTATTTATTTTCTTAAAATAAACTTCTAACTGGAATAATCCTTCATTGCAAAGGAACTTATTTTAAACAGAAAACTTGAACTACCATGAAGTTTTCATTTTTCTCCATGTAGTATGACTGTTATTTCAAGCTGCATCAATTGATTTAAAATCACAGAAATACTTACGGCTAAAATCATGTGGCTGAATTGGAAAGATGCGGCCTTTGTTCTTTATGTGCAAATATACCACAATCATGACAATCCACAGTCTGCCACAACCCATTGTAACCATAGCAACTTAAACTATTCAGCTATGTTGCTTGGAAAGGGAAAGGAGATATTGCAAGAAAATGTTGTTTCTCTAATTAAAATCCATGCAAGCATTATCACTTGCAGGTGGCCTTGGTAGTGAAAATAAAGTGATGTATTTTATCTCTTACATAGCTTTTTCATGCTATTAAAGAAGTCTTTCCATGGTATAGTTTTTCCCTTTTGAAGTTAGTACGTATCTCAGGTCTTTCAGGCCACCTTCCTAGTCAACAGAGAATAAGTGATGGAACATCTGAGAATATTCTTAGTATAAATTGTTTTACTGACATTCCAGCCCAGAAAAGAAGCAGTTATAAACAACATGCAGAAAATCCCTTCTTTTAAGAATTTGACACCAGTGCCTGGTTCTTATAAAATACCACTGCTCCAGAAATTAACTCCAGTCTCAAAGCAAAGCACAGACAATTCTGTTACTGATTTCCTAACTCCTTTTCCTTAAATAATAAATAACAACAATATAGAAAATCTGTTTAGCTCAGAACATTTTCTTGCATGTCAGAAAGAGGATGTGGGAAATTACATATGGTAGTACTACACTGTGGAATCAGCTTGAGTAACACCCTTACCTCCAACAAAATAAAAATCTCATAATTGCTTGTAATGTTAACATTATACAGTAGTATATTTTGGATAAATCAGGTTTGTAACATAATAGGAGACCCTTTCGAACTTACCTTAAATATACAACTAATGTCAATCTGTTGTATATCAGTAATTTGCAAAAGAATAAAGACATTAAAAAAAAGGCAGAAAAAGTAAGAGTTATGACAGTTATGACATCACTTTGACTCTGAAATTTGATTCCGTTATTTGTCAGTCTTAGTGAAATCTGAGAAATCTGATCAAGGATCTGAGATAAGCTATTGTGTGTGACTGAAAAGCTCCCATAAAGTTTTTCATTTAATATAATACAGAAGCCTGTTTTGACTGTCATGGACAGAAATCAGCGTGGATATGCTTTTTATACATTTAATCAGTTTTTACCATGCTTCTCTTTACCACACTCTTCTGAGAAAGTGCATATTGTAACCTCTGTTTTCCTCATTTGTTTTAGATATGTCAATAAATAGCTTGAAATTGCTTGAATCTGCTTACCGCCACTGATTTGCAGTGAATTAAAGCTAAGTGAAGACAGAGACATTCAAAACTGAAACCTTGGCACCTTGGCTTTCCATTAAGTGATTCCTCAGCAGGATATCACATGCATGGTGCTCAGGCTGGCTGAACAAGAGTGGAGGAGGAGTGCAAAGGTGAAAAAAGTGGAGAGGATAGTCCATCTAGAAGGTCTAAGATTATTTGGATAACATAGGTAAAAGCCACATAATGCAAGAGCTACATGAAAAAGTTTGTGTGTTAGTGCTCCAGTGTGATCTGGGAGGGTTAAATCGCTCAGATTCCACACATCTCTTCCTAAGGTCTGTTCATTCAGACTTTGCACTGAAGCCTGCATTTTCCCCTATGCTTTGCATTTCAGGGACTAAAGAAAACAAGCTTACAAAAATACCAGGAAGAATACATTGGAATGTACAGTGAGTTTAAGAGCTTTTGGAATTAGATCAGCTGTTGCTTTTGAACCTGCTCTGTGATATGATGAAATCTCCTAGGGAATTACTTAGGAAGCTTTGCTTTCATATGTTTAATCTTCTGGAAAACCCTGATGATTACAAACAACAGTCATCCATTTGTCTTCATAATACCATGCTACAGACTATCATAACTGAATTACTACAATTGTATGTCCTGGCAACACTTCAAATGTATTTTTTAAGTATTTTTTGCTTGTAGATCATTCTTTCTAAACAGTTCTGAGTGGATTAAGCAATTGTGTGATGCTTCATTAAGAAAAGAACCCAACTCTTCAGTAAAATGCTTACCAGATATTTTCTTTCTGTAATTTGGTTGAAATGTATTTACTAGAGAAGACAGAAGTGAAATAAATTTTTTCTAATCATAACTTGATTCACAATCAGAGAGCCTATTTTCATTGCATTTAACAAAAGGAAGGATTTCTGATTCCATGACACATTTTAAAAGTTTAAATATTTTTTTTTTTTGAGAATATACAAAAAGAGTCTGAAGAACCTGGCCATGGACTAAGAAGGTCAGATAGACAATTTAAGAAGTTAAAATTTCAGCTGTTGATCATGACTTTATGAGCATGACTCCAAAATACACCACTCAGTAATATGACTATCATGCCTATAGCTTGTTCATGAGATACAGAATTTTATTTGAAAGACATTCCTTTTTGAGGTGAGGTAATATGGAATCTATGATGATCTTAAACTACTGAGGTGTCTGTCTGCTATGTATGCCTTTAACTTCTGCATGGAATTATGCCTCTGTGCATATTATCCCAATGTCAGTTGTCCGCACCGCTAAAATTATGTAGCTTTAAATTGAGTATTTTTTTTTCATGGAAGTTTCCAGTTATTGCATGTGTTTTCATAAACTTGCACTGTTAGTAAAAACTCTAAATCCCATTGTGTGCCCTCTACTAGGATTACAGTGGGATCTAGCTCCTCTTGTGCTAATTTGCTTCATTATTCAGTGTTACCGTTAATGATCTTTAGCTGTTCCACAGGCTGTCTGATCTGTGGGGCTAAGATTTCTTCCCAGATAATTTTGCACTGAGGTAATTCCATTTACTTCACATCTGCCCCACTTGAGGAGAGGCACCCGTTTGTCTAGAGATAGGACAAAGAATTCCAGATGATCTTCCTTCTCGGAGAAATGGCACGGCATAACAGACATTCCTCTAGAGCAGATGCATGCTAGCAGGCTGAGCATGCAACTTTGTTCTTATTCCTCCACAGTCAACTTAGGTTGCTTAAGTATCTGTTGTATTTAAGTGAACTGCAAAGAAACATTTATAAATCTTACCCAAGAGAAAAACTGCTAAATATAGTTAATTGTCCAGTGTGAAAGCTTCTGATCTAAATATATTCACTGGAACTTCTCTAATCTTGGCCAATATATGTTTGCTTCTGAACTATTAAAAGAGCTCACAGCTCTACCTTATCATTTATTAGTATTGACTTATTTTGTTGTTACTGGTGTTGCTGTAAAAAGGTTACTCTGATATTTATTAGTTAATTAAATAACAGACTGTTAAAGTTTCATTTCCTATAGATCCAAAGTATACTCTAATCTCGGCTCCATGTTTTTTGGCTCCTAGACATACTGTACTATAAAATAAAAGCAAACAGCAAGTAGAAGAATTTACAGTCTCCATCTAGTTTTGCATTATGTCTTTTGCTGTTGGCTTCAAAGAAGCTGTGGACCAAACCCAAACCACTGAATAGCCCAATAACATATATTTCACTGGTAATGTGCCCTCTTACTGTAATGCTGCAGTCTCTAGGTGTTTAATACAGAATTATGTTGCTTTGCTCTTAGCAATTTCCTCTTCTATTCCATCCATTGCTAATATAGGAGAAAATTGCATAATTAGGATGAAATTTATATTCCTAAATTGGTCTTAACCTTGGAAGAAGGAAACAGTAAGACAAGAGTTTTCATATAGCATTTGGTTTACATTACTGTGATATATTGAAGACAGCTCAGAGTAAAATAAAAATGATCTGAGGAGATATGGATAGAAAAACAAATTATTTTTTCAAAAAGACAAAGAAAACAAAGATCAGTTGCATCAAAGGAGCAGCAATAGATTAAGAATATGCCATGGAGACCAAGTTTGCAGTGGAAAGACAATGGATTTGATGATCTAATAGGTCTCATACATCTGAATTGTATTATTTCACCCCCAATAGAACCTTGCTCTCTTTGTACTTGCTGTTCAGCAGAGTGGTAATTATGCTAACAATGTGTCTTCTTTTTTTATGGTTTTCAATGTGCAAATTACGGTGCAAATTTATTCATCACTTAAAAATATGTTGAGTGCTTCCACAGATGGGGTTTTGACAAGAGCAAATTTAGATGTTCTTTAAACGTTCAAATTAGAACTTGCTAGGGAGACACAGATAGACACCTCCTATTTTGCACTAGAGGTATGTGGGAAATATGTTACTCGGAATACACCTAAGCAGACTGATTATCAGCTTTCAACAAATAGTTTTCTTGTAAGATCTTTCATGAGTTATATTTTCCCCTACTGGAGAGGGTTGTCCCTCAAAATGTTTGGTGATTCAGTCTGGATGGGTATCTGTACTTCCTCCAAATAAAGATAAATCAGTCAGATATTGGAAGACTGAGATGCAATTTCACAGTTAGATTTTTCTTTACGTAAAGATTTTTAAAAATTAAAAAAAAAAAAAAAAAAAGTTTTAAGCACCCATTCTTTTTACAAGCTATATGTATACAACTACTTCTGACAATACTAATATTATTTTACAGTGCATGTTGCTGACTGCCATCTATTGGCATACCTTCTAAAAACCACTTACAGGTATACAGGTGGTCACAGCTGTTTTACAGAGCTTAAGAGTTTCAGTTTCACTGGAAGATTTTTCTTTGACTTAAAAGAAAACTCCAGCCATATATATCAGAGAAGGAAATATATTAAGTGAAATTCATGAAAATAAGAAATTATGTAATATATAAACAAAACACAACTTTTTTTTTTTTTTTTTTTAAGAATACTGGACAAATATTTATATTTTGAGTCTGTTCTTCGCTTGTGAGAGCTGGTCCAGAGATCCTTGCAGACACAAAGCAGGTCTCATGGACATATGTTGAGGAATTACATTATCCTAAAATGCTGACTGATGGTTTGATTCTCTTGTGTTTTTGAGACCACTTGTAAAATTCATATCCATCCTGAACACTAAGAGTATGTGTTACTGGTTTAAGCTATATTTGTCCTAGGAACAGAACAACAATTTTACCAAGTCTGAATTTGCTGCAATTAAGAACACTGCTTGATGTGCAATATTGTTAAGAGAATGAAACTACAAGAAAAAAAAAAAAAAAGTTGTATATGAGTATGTTCCTAAGTGTTGTCTGTTGAAAGGAATAAAGAGGACACCAACTGATTAGTATTAGTATTGTGGTTCTAGAGATAAAGGTTCTTTATGTGTTATTAACTGAAATGTAAAAGCTGGGTTTAGTTTTGTTTGGTGTTTTTTTTTTTTTTCCATTTCAGAAAATTCCAAATTACAAAATGCTGGTCGCAAGCAATCTGTCTCCAGAAGCCTGAAGCACCTGTTTCATTCATCGAACAAATTTGTGAAGACTCTGAAACGGTTTGTCATTCATTTTATCTCCCAAACATTCTGAGTTTTATCTAGCAGTTGTTGCTTTTATGTAGTAGTGAACAGCACATTAAAAATGGATGTAAGTACATTCTACTCCCAGTGAAACAACTATCAATCCAAATAAACCTGATAAAATTATGTAAGTGTGAGACATGCATCTGATAGGAATATATTGAAATTGATTAATGATTGCTACTGAAATCATTAGCAATCTTTGATTGTTACTGCTGGAAATGAATTTGAGCTTACCAGAGTGAAATATTGTATACAAACACAACACTACAGCTAGTGAGGTATTGTTAAAGTACTGCATCTGTTGCTGCTCAGTAAGGAAACCATGGAATTTATTTCATTCATAATATAAAAAGCAGAGCTCAGATAACATGTTCTAATATAGTGAGATATACTAATATCTCACTGGCCACAAGCAACATATTGAGAATTCTGTAACATTTTTAGCTAGGTTTGCAGCCCAGTGTGACCTGAACAAACCTCTGCCTTGATAGTTTTAGCAAATGAAGGTTTTTTTAGACTGGATTATTTCTTTTTTCATTGCCAGGAGTATTTAGTTTGCTTTTTCTTCTTTGTATTTTGATAAGAGTTTGATTCTTTCAGAAGAGCTCTCCAGAGTTTTTAAATCCCCTAAGGCAACTACTTAATGTATGCAACTAATTGCAAGGGTAAATATTGAAAGGAATGATCTCTATAAACAGTTTTGCAGATATGCTTGCCAAATTACACTAAATTACACTAATGTAAATCCATAATAACCCTCCTGATTTCAACTGAGTTACTTCAGATTTACTCTAAAGTAATGAGAGCAAAACTAAGCCCATTAATGATAAAAAAGTTCTGGTAGAATTTTTGATTTCCAGAGGGCATAACATCTTCCCCCCTCCCCTCCCCCCCCCCCCCCCCCCCCCCCCCATTGGGTACCGTTTACTCTGGCAAAACTCTTAGTAAAATTGATGGCATTGATGGCATTGGCTTGCACAGATTCATAATTCCCTAAATTCTTGTAGTCACGCATCATTTAAAGTGATAAACTTCCCAAATATTTTTCAGAATTCACTGGTTGAAGTTGCATGATCTATATAACACAAAAGACCAGATGATTTGATTTGCCACCTCAGAACTTAAATTCTATGATTAATTGGCTAAAATTTGGCACGCATATCAATAGACATGAAAGCTGTTTGACAATATTTCTTTTGTTTCTTTAGGGGACTCTACTTATCTGTTATATTTTTTTACAAAGACAATTTATTAGTAACCAATGAAGATCAAATCCCAATTGTGGAAATTGATGACTCTCACAGTAGTTCAATTATGCAGGATTTCCTGTGGTTCACAAAGGTAATGGAAGCCTAATTTTTTATATTGTTTCTACAGTTTTGTTGCTAGCCATGCATAAACCTTAGCTGATTGTTCTGAGCACGTTAAAAAGCTAATAGATTAAGTGCTTTACCTTTCACTCATGTCAAAATGTAATTTTCACATACCCTTATATGTGTTAAATTCTGATTGGGTCACTCACAGTAGCACAATTAACTTTTAAATGCACGATCCTATATCAGTGATTGCAAACTAGGAACATAAAACTTTTATGAACATTTAGAGGGAGAACTCAAAAAAAAATAGTAACTAGAGGTTTTGAAGTTGGTATTAGGGTTATATCATCTTTCAGTATAGCTATTTTTACATTTCCTAATTTCACACTATTTTTAATTTCCTAAAGAACAGTAAATCAATTTTAAACAGTAGTCTAAAATGCAATTGAAATAGGTGTATGAAGTTTACAGAATGATTTCTGTGTTTGTTTCCCGTTTATCTAGGCAACTCCTTACCACCCACAAGAAATCTAAATGAACAATATCCACTGATTTTTCTAAGTCCAAAGTGCTTTTAGTTTCATTTCTGCTTTTGTAAATGCTGAGAACAAAAACTGACTGAACTAGACATATTTTTGCAGTTGTCTTGTATGTGGGATGACATCAGATGGCTGAGGCAGAATATGTCTATATCCGTGTCCTCATCAACAACACTTCAAGCCAGGCAAAAGATGCTTTCTGCAGCAGCACAGCTACAGGTTGGTTTCATTGCATATTTCCAGCTATTAATTTAGTGACTTTCTGATCTCTAAGGGAAAGTACTGCCAGCTCTCCTTTGGTTCATCACTCTGCACTGGCCTATTCTTTGGAGCAGGGTTATTATCTACAGTGAAGTGAGCTACTGAGTTTGTCTTGCCAGCTGGACGCAGTTCTATTAGAAGTAATAGTAGGAAAAAGACAGGAAAGAAACAATAGCGGCAGAGGAAGAAACAGATACGAACCAGTAAATAACAACCCCAGATAGTGCTGTGGGTTTGCAGATTGGGACTTCACAGGTTACAATCCTGTGAACAATTCACTGCTCAGAAACCTCTTAGAAAGTCTATTAATTATTAATATATTTGTGAAGCATTTAAACTCTCAGTAAGATTTAGCACTCCTTTGTGCTATATGGACTCCTATAATAGCAGGTAGATTCTGAAAAATCTACCAAGGACAGGTAGAGGAAGGACAAGTAGACTGCTGAAGTTGCCAGAACATGACTCTTGATTCATCTGTGGCTTACAAACTACTCGAGAACAGCTTCTAGGCCAGAGCAACACTGTTTGACCAACAGTATGGCTATGCTGTTGTGGTTGGTCGTTCAGTATGAATGAATCTGAGGTGTACCTCTGTGCAGAGAACCAACCAGAAACCTGTATAGCCTCTTAAAAACAAAGACTAAAAAAGGTGAAGTGGTGCATAGATTTTTCATTGACCCCTCAGCAGGATGGTAGGGACAGCAGCACTACATGCACATTCATATCACGTTAAGGCATGGTAGTGACTCTCAGGAGACCTGGTTTCCTTCCAACCTGTGATACTGACACAATCTGAGTGATCAAGGGGCTGGAATACCTCTGCTCTGAAGACAGGCTGAGAGGCACTAGAACAGGTTGCCCAGAGAAGCTGTGGATGCACTCTCCCTGGAAGTGTTGAAGGCCAGGTTGGATGGGGCTTTGAGCAATCTGGTCTAGTGGGAGGTGTCCCTGCCCATGGAAGGGGGGCTGGAATTAGATGATCTTTAAGGTCCTTACCAACCCAAACCATTCTATGATTCTATGAGTATTTACTGTTGTAGCAAAATACATTTTCAAAAAGACGTGGGCATGATTCCTACAGAAAATGTATATCCAGACCTCATTCTACTACCTTTTGTTTGAATGAAGTCACCAAAGCTGCCCAGAAAACTCTGTGGTGCAGTCATGGAATTAATGAAGATCTTCATATTGCTTGGCTCATGTGTCAGCCATGCAGCCATCCCTCTTATTGCCAGTCGATGCAATAAGCTAGATTTTATAGCAGCTGTGAGAGCCAGATACTTTGTGGCCATTATTAAGAATATCCGTGTGGGGTTTGTTTTACATCTTTTGGCAAAGTAAGCTGTACAGGAGAGTAGCCTTCCTGGGCAACCACCTGTCTTGATTGATTTCCCCAAAGTATCCCGAAATACATGGAATGCCAGTCTGCTGTACCTTTATTGAAGGACCACCTGTGTTAAGCAGCAGCTGCTTGTCAGTCCTTTGAGCTCTCACTGGAGACAGTTTTAACTATATCTGCTGAAAGGTCCCTCTGGTGTGGTTAGCTCAGCCTAGGTAGCACAGACTCCTTTGGTTAGCTCAGTTTCTTTCCCTCTGTGTAGGCTGCCTGTAACAGAGCATTGTTAGTATGCATGGACTGCACTTTGAGATAACCAAGATTCCTAGTACTTTGCATTATTATTTGCTACCGGAGATGTTAAGAGCAGAGCTTGAAGCACAGAGATACAGCAAATGTGCCCATGTGGTATATTGCTCTGCTGAATTTGTGGCAAGTTTACTGTCCTTATTGTTTGTTCTGTTAGTTTGGTCCCCTGATGAACACAGGGATTGTCACCGACCTGCCAACCTTTAACAGTGTGTGGCCTAATGGGATCCACCAATGGAAGGATCTCAATAAAGTTTATGTGGTTGAATACATTTTATTGAGGCAGTTAACAGTCTGACTCCACAGGAATTTAGGACAGAATGGAAAAGATCAGTGATAATACAGCTGCTAAGGGACTAGATCAGTGGATTCAGAGACAACAGGGACTGTAATTTTCCTGCTGTTACCACTAGACAACTAAGCAACCAAAACACAAGCGACGGGATGCCAAGCTTAGCAGACACAAAACTTTTTTAGTATATGAGTAGGTGTCCCCATTCTTTTTTCTGGACTGTCAGTCAGAATCATAGAATCATAGAATATCCTGAGTTGGAAGGGACCCTTAAGGATCATCAAGTCCAACTCTTGACACCGCACAGGTCTACCCAAAAGTTCAGACCATGTGACTAAGTGCACAGTCCAATCTCTTCTTAAATTCAGTCAGGCTCGGTGCAGTGACCACTTCCCTGGGGAGCCTGTTCCAGTGTGCAACCACCCTCTCTGTGAAGAACCCCCTCCTGATGTCAAGCCTAAATTTCCCCTGCCTCAGCTTAACCCCGTTCCCGCGGGTCCTGTCGCTGGTGTTAATGGAGAAAAGGTCTCCTGCCTCTCGACACCCCCTTACGAGGAAGTTGTAGACTGCGATGAGGTCTCCCCTCAGCCTCCTCTTCTCCAGGCTGAACAGGCCCAGTGCCCTCAGCCGTTCCTCGTACGTCTTCCCCTCCAGGCCTTTCACCATCTTCGTAGCCCTCCTCTGGACACTCTCCAACAGTTTCATGTCCTTAATACAATCATCAATGACAGCAAAGATCTATTTGCCTCCATCTAGGCACTATCTTATATTGCAGTAATTAAATTAACATCACAACTGAGATGGCTAAATATCTACCTGCAATGATTTGTCCCATCTGTGGACACATGAATTAATACAAAATGTATAGCCAAACCACCCAGTGTTACTCAGCTATGGAGGCTAACCTCAACATGCAGTTAAGAAAAAGAGGATGTGGTATATAGACATCAACAGTGTGCTCTGGAGAGGGATGCATAAAGCTAAAGTAGCTAAGTTATGCTGCATAAAGGGCAGTCACTGTGCCCCACTGTGTTATAACCTAGAAGTTATAAATAATTTAACTATTAAGTTTATAAGTAAATATTGTCTGTTAAGTACAGATAAATAAATTCAGGATAATCTATCAGTTTACAATGTCATAAAGTTACAGCACTTCCCTAAATGTACAGTGTGCTACATTGTGAATTCAGGTTCTCATTTTAAACAACCCCCATCCCTATCCAGCTTACTGTAGATCTCTTGAAAAGTCCTGAAGTAATGAGCATATTTTAAATGTTAGGCATTTTTCTTTAAGACATCTGGGAATCTCTTCAGTGGCTGGTCACTGGATTGAGTGTGTTTGCACCTATAAGCAGATGCCTTACTGTGTGAGGAAAGGGATTTTGACCAAAATATGTATTTTATGTGGAGTCTTTTAAAATTACTTTTCTTTAATCCTCACATATTTTCCTGGAGAGCTTTGCCTTGGTAGTATGTTAGATTCTGCTGGTTTGTCTAGCACATTCTTGGTATCTGAAATAAGAGAAAAAGAGTCCATGTCTCTTCAAATTCCTTTGTGTTCCTTCATAAACACACCCCACAGTTCAGCTCCAAAATTATTTACATTCAATGCAGTCATGAGTGCCTCTTCCTCTGTTGCTGAAAATAATATTTTTTAAACAGAGAGCAGAAAATGGAGATGATAGTTAATGACCCTACCAGAAAACATTTGAAGTCTCCAAAATGAATGATGTAGGCATGGAAGAAGAATTTTGTATCTCTGATATGCACTGCATCTCTTATTTGAGCATGCATCTAGCTCTTCAGTAAGCTGAAACCAGAAGGGCTTCATTGATACCAAAGGAATCAACACTAGACCAACACTGAGTGCTTTTGAAAACTGCATCCTTTATCTTTATATAACTGGGCACAAAAGGGAAGTATAGGTGAATTACTTTGCAGTGTGTCCTTTTACAAAGATATCAGGTCATAATAGTCTGTTTAATGTTCTCCATCAAATGCTGGACTAAACACTACTGGACCAAATACACATGAAAAACCAAAATTCAATCCACTAACACAACCTAGAGAAAAACTTTTCTTTCTGCCACTGAATGATGTGACTGTTGGGCAAAGGCTTAAGAAAGACTATAGTGTCTAGTTTCTATTGAAGTCAACAGGTCTGACATCAGTGAGCACAAAATGAAGTTTCAAAAAATACCATCTTCCTGATATGTGATAAATAACATTCATTTTATAATTTTCTTCTTTTCTAGAATTTGCTGGGAACTCACAACCTAGGTAGAGTTTTTTATGAGCCAATCAAGGATCGACATGGCAACATACTGATAGTTACTATAAGAGAAGTGGAGAGTCTTTATTCATTTTTTAATGGCAAATGGATGCAGGTATCCAAACTACAAAGCCAGAGGAAATCCCTTTCAACTCCAGAGGAGCCAACAGCGTTAGACATTTTGCTTATAACAATCCAGGTAGTGCTTTGCTTCTCTTACTGTATGTTATTTGCTTTTGTAAAGCCTGTGCCAGAGCCCTGATTTTGGAAGAGTCTTGTAGAATTTTAGGCCTTAATCCAGTGCCCAATAAAACTAATGGCAAGGCTCCCATTGAAAGTAAAGACTTATATTACTTCCAAGGGGGCTGGGATCAGATCCTTAATATGTAAAATATCCATGAGATTCTAAAGAAATTACTTCAAAGTCCTAGCAAAGAATGGTACAGTTTCTATCAGTTTCGGGAAGCCATGCTATAGCATTCCTTAGCAAGGGATATAAAAACCTTTAAAATTCTCTGTGATGTTCTTAAGCACCTATACAGACACTTAAAATTTCTACACTCCATAAGATTTTTCCATTCAAACCTTAACGCTAAATCTAAGTTTAAAACCTTACTGTTCTACTTAATAAACTTGTTCTGTGGGGTTCAGAGTTCCTTGGAGCCTGGTATAGTTGCTAAAAAATTCTTTACTGACCATAGCTCTCCTTTAATTTCCATATAACATGCCCCCATACTTCACATTTAGAACAATACTGAGGTAAGGATTGATCCTAGAGGGTGTTTAGCATTATCATTTCAGTTAACATCATTGAGAGCCGTGGGTTTTCAGCCCTTCAAGAGTCAGGGTATTTGTAAACTCTTAGTTCAAAGTAAGACTAACATATGTTTTCTGTAGGTAACAGCAACTTATTTGTCACAAAATATCTGTAGCCAGCCTCCGTCTTCTCTACAACTGAGTGGCGTAGTTACCCAAAATATTACAAGACAAATTATTGTCTTACTCCCATCTTTTCTAACCTCAGCTAGACAATGACTACTGTGGTTAATTTTTGAGTTTGAGGCACTTTCTTGGGCAGAGACTGTGCTTTTGGTACCGGAAACTGACAGGCAATCAAAATATGTATTACCAGGTTTTAGGAACGTTAAAAAATTTCCAAAAGACAATAAAACTTACCTGATCTATGTTAGATTTTCTGTATTAAAATGTGTTAAAGGTGTAGAAAAATGTCAATCTGGGCAAAAGTTTTATATTAGGAAACCCAAAATACAGGCCTGATCAGATTTCCACAGAGATCCTAGTGGAAAAAATGTTCCCCTAATGGTTTACACATTCCTATCTAATGCCCACCCTTTCTTGTATTACTTGTTTAATCATCGAATGGGTATTTTGCTCATGAAGTGCTTGTGAAAATGAGGGTCTAATTGCATTGGTCAGAGCCAAGCATAGCACTGGCAGATAATTTGATGGTTCCAAGAGTGAAGGCGTATGGCCAGGTGTCTTAATCCTCACCCACTGCAGAGGCGCACATTTGTAGGATGGCAGCAGACATCATTTTTTTTACAAGTGCTTCTTGGGGACTGCTATACATAGCCTTAAAAACTTCTCCTGCCTTGAGCAAATACACCATCAGTATTAATTCCTTCTGAGCTCTATTTGTTGATGAAAATATTTGTTCACAAAACAGAGCCATTAATTTAACTTTGCAGACCACCAACTCCTATAATTACAGAGATCTTCCTGTTGATAGCAGGTGATACAGAACGGGTTTTCAAGAGATTTAGGTGGTGACTCTACATGCATTTCGGTGACAGTACTGCTTTATGCAGCCTCTCTGTCCCACCTTTCCCAGCAGACAGCTTGTCCCCAATGCCACTCTGCTCCATCTGTGCTAGTTACAAACCAGAAGTGAACCAGGGAACTGACCTGGCTGAAAAACAACTGCTTCTTTTCCTGAAACAGTTCCCTGACCCAGCTCACTGGTGAAATGGTTAGACAAGAGGTGGGTGCTGTTTAAGCTAGTTTAAATCCAACAGTTGAAGAAGGTTGAGGTCTCAGTTTTTAATGCCTGCTAGTGCCTCAAAGAGCTTTAGGAACCTGTGTATAGTTTTGAGCAGGAAGTTGTCCAAGTGCATCCAAACTACCAGAGATTATTTATATACTTAAGCATGTGCTTAAATGCTTTGTGAATTGGGAGCACTGTTGAAACAAGAAGACAGCTATAAAAGCATTTGTTGCTTTTTGATCCCAAACTCTTCCTCTTATGTGGAAAAAAAAATAAAAATGTTATTTATATATAGGACTGTTTCCCTTAAAACAGGACATACTTTCCTATCACAAACGAAGTCAGCAACGCCTTCCTCCTGGCTTGTATCTGGGTTACCTTAAACTCTGCAGTTCTGTGGATCAAATCAAAGTTCTCGTGTTGCAGAAGTTGCCTAATGTCCTGTGTCATGTCAAAATCCGAGACAACGGCAATGTCTCCAAGTAAGTGAATATACACGTATTTACACGCATATATTTAGAGAGAGAACATTTAAGTCTAATGCAATTTTGCCGTTGGAGAATTGTAGCTGCCAGCAGACTGTGGCTCAGGTGTGTACAATAGAGATCAGTGCTGAACTAAGCAGGTGCACCTGTGTGTTTCCAGCAATTCTGAAGGCCTATCCAGAAAAGATACATATGAGCCCGTTAGTTTCTAAGGGTAGTATTCTGTGGTTGCTCGCATTTTGCACAGTGGTAATGATCTTCTATATGTCTTTTGGGAAGATCATAGCCTGCAGCCCTGATTCAGCTTCCAGTGAATTCCGTGAAATTAATTTTCCCTGACCAAGGGGTATTGGTGTTGGTGATTCTTCAGTGGATTCTTTCATGTAATATCTGTTTTCTCACTAACACACAGCAAACATACAGCCTATTTAGACAAATGCTGTCAGCCATTGAACTACTGTGCACCAGAAAACACATTTTCCATTTGTCCACTGCTTCCTGTATCTATTGGGCAAGTGCAGGTATTTCCAGTGCCTAGTCCCTGCTGAGTGGGCAACACATTTTATTTGTCTCCCCCCCCACCCCCCTTTTTCTGTGGATATTTTTAATCCCATACCATTTCAGCAACCAGCTGAGAATTTTGCATGATTCAAAGAGGAACTGGATATCTATATGGATAACAAGGATATCCAGAATGTAGAAGTTAATACTAACAAAAATTTTGGAAGGAATATGAAACCTACTGTTTCAGGGTTTATAACAATGTTTGACTCTCGAGTTTAAGATCAGATCTTTATTTGGGAGCAGATTGTTCCACATATATTACTCATCTTGCAGTGGGGTTTCTTGTACTTTTTTTTCTTGATCGTTCAGTGCTGGATGCCTTTCAAGATTGAATAGTGCAGGGTGAATTAAGGATTTGGTCTTAAAAAGATGATCCGTATGTTTATCAGGTCTAAAATGGCTATATGTCAAGCAAAACAAAACAAAACCAGGAAGTTTTTTGGCTCCAGTGGGTACAAGAGAGTTTGCCACAGAAACTAAACCTGCTAATTGTCACTGTTGTCATTTCCTATTCATGTGTTTTATGTTTTTTGTTTTTGTTTTAAATATGATAGTAGATATGGAATAAAATATGTGGAAAAAAAAACCCTGGAGTTAGAAGTCTTAGTGAAATATTTCAAAGGCAGTTTGACTTTCAGATGTTAGAAAGGAATGTTCAGCCTGATGTACATGTGCTAGAAAAATTAAACTTTTCTTACATTTTTAACCACAAACAATCAGGATTGCACAATTTTAGAGTGTTTTGCTATATGAGGATTAAAGTATCAACAGATCCCACATACACTGAATTCCTGCTTGTGCACTGAACTTTTGTTATATTTCTAATTTTAACTCAACTCAACATACAGAGATGAGTGGGAATGGATCCAAACACTTTCTGGCTCAGAATCTGTGGAAAGTATGGATCATACTTCAGACTGCCCTACTCAATTGTTCTTGTATGAGCTCCAGATGGCAGTGAAAGCTCTCCTTAAACAGATCAATCTACCTCTGCATCAGGTATTTTCCTTTGTGGTATTTATCACCCTTTTAAAAACTGATTCTTAAGAGCACAACTAAAAACTACAAACAGTGTAACATTCAAGTAGGAATTAAATGTTAAGGTTGCAAGAAAAGAAAAGCAGAGAAGCTTTCTATCCAATTACCCTAGCTGAGGGAGAAAAACACCTTCAAGTAAACAATTATTTTCCCAGATATTTGAACATATAAGGATTAAGAGACTACTTTTAAAAAGCTTCTATTTTTGCATCTGTTAGCATATTTGTGCAACTTTGGGCAGGTGCAAATGCACGCTTTCTCATGAAACTCTAGTAGCTGTGAGCACCTTCACCCAGCTGGCAAAGAAAGACAGGTATTTTCCCAGTGAAGCATGGCAATTGACTGTTCCTTTGGATGTAATACTGAAGGTGAAAGGCCTGCTGAAGACACAGCACTTTGCAATTCTTTCACACACACATAAACATAAGTCTTCTAAAACACATAGCTCCAGATTTCCAGATTGCTGTGGGTGAGGAGAGGTATCTGGCTTCTGGCTTTACATTTAGGTACAAGAAATGCATATGTGAATAAATAAAGAAGTCAGGGAGGATAATCTATGATGTGAAAGATCCATGAAAAAATAAGCTAAGGAGTTTGTTTCTTGTTTACATGAATTCCATTTTATTTTGGTCTACAAGGGTAAAGAGGTCTTACAGTAGAAGTAAATCATCTTTATATTTCACTTCAAGATCTGTTTGTGCAGCTAGAAAGATGTGGCCTTAAAATAAATTAATCTGGTTCTACATTTCTTGATTTTGAAAGGTTTAGGCTTTACTTTTAAAAGGGAATCCATCAGTGCTGCACCTTCTAGCCTATGAAGAGCCAAGATTCAAGTAAATCCAAAATTAAGACAGATGGTGTGCTGCCTTGTGGTCAGTCAGTAATTCAATAGGGTTCTGTAGAGGTCTCTATGCTAGTGTATTTTCTTGGATGTTATAGCTTTTGTGCATCTCTCTCTCTCTTTTTTTTTCTTTTTTTTTTTTTTTCTTTTTTTTAAGCTAGGTACTAAAGTACTGAAATCAATGTGCAATTTGTTCCTTAGGCTACAGTTCAGCCAAGCATTTAAGTTTATCTATTGTGCATGAGGGATAGCCATAAACATGGCCTTGCAGTTAAACAGTTATGTTTTGATGATTCAGGACCAAAATTCTTTGTTAATAAATTGAATTTACTTAGGTATTGATTTACTTAGGTATTTTTATTATTTTGGGGGTAAACAGAATCATGGACAGTGACACTGTTGGATACCCAGAGTAAAATGCAGTGCTGCACACAGCAGCTATACAGCAGCCTCAGGCCAAATCCTGTGTGTGCCATTTTCTCCTGCTGCAGCACTTGTTAAACCTTTTCAGTGCTATGTTGAGGGAGAGCTGCATATTTCTCTTAACCAACCCTAAATTGAATCTTAAAGGTTTTTAATTGAATCCATTTTCATGTTTTCACATAATTATGCAATCATAATCTTGAAAAGCACATGGCATGTGATCATTTTCTGCCTAATAAGAAACATAAATGTTGTTTTCAGGGGGGTTATGCCTGTGTGTGTTGTTTTAATGTGGAACATTGCAGCTTTAAATCTTTATTTTATGTAGTGACATGAACCCACATTTAGAGCCCCCCCCCCAAATATTTATGTTTTATAAAAATTCCGAGCTTGATGTTGTGCAAATTTTCTTTAATGTTTTATATCATTTGGGGTGTTGTTTATATAAGTGCCATGTTGTAATTCTCTCCTATTTCTTCCCCCGCGCGTGTCCCTCTACAGGCTAAGCACTTCCGTCTGTATACACAGGAGGTGTTGGAACTGGGTCACAATGTCTCCTTTCTTCTCCTGCTCCCCGCCTCAGACGACGTCTGCACTGCCCCAGGACAGAATAATCCTTACACCCCACACTCAGGATTTCTTAACCTCCCTCTTCAGATGTTTGAACTCGGTATAGTAGCTTGCTTCACCTAGAAATATTAACCCAGTCTCCTTATAATAAAATCACAAAGTTGTATCTGTTTTCCCCCTTGTCCCAGTGGAGAGTCAATAAATCACATGATGGCTTTGGCAACAACACTACCTATAACTGTGTACAAGTTATAGAGGGAGCAGAGCAGTTAAAGCATATACTGTAGCAATCGTTATTGAAATGCATAGAGCAAAGCCCACAGTTATCCAGTATGTCTACAAGCTTATTTGGAAGACGATGTTCTTTAAAAAACAGAATCAAAAAATTTCAATATGGCAAGTTTGGAGTGTAAAAGCAGATGCAAAAAAAGAACCATCCCTCTAAACTGTCACAAGAATAACCAGTTTTGAAGAGGAGGATTTTTGCAGCTCCTGCTTACAGATAGTCCTACTCAAGGTCTGACTCCCTCACAATTTTGTGAAAGGTCTGAGTGGAGTTTCTGAGGTCAGGGTCATCTTTTTCCTTCTGATTTCTGAAAGAAAAAAAAAATAAATACGGGAGACTTAGTCCTATTGCTGTGGTGCAAGAAAAGCCTGTTTTTGTGAAAAATGCTAAAGTACTGGCCTTGAATCTACTTCTTTAGGGAGCACATGCTGTGCAGTGCTCCTCCTGTTGAACTGCATTGCTGACTAGGTAAGAATCCTCCAAGACAGGGTTTTACAACTGTCTAACTGAAAGCAGAAGATGCTTCATCTCTAAGCTCCTCTATTTCTCATTTCTTTCTCATTGGTCCACAGAGTAAAGAAAGGCTCCACATGAAAGCAGCCCACAAAGACTTCATAGTTCTTTTTAGAAAGAATATGATGAGTAAGGGGACTGCTGAGCCTTATGTATTAGTCTCCTCTGTTTCCTTCTGGCCTGTAAAACTTCTTGTCATTTCTTTACTCTGCCTTGGAGAGAAGAGAATGGTAAGAGCCAAAACTGATGGAGACAGTATACAAGGAGCCACTGCAGAATAGGTCTCTAGTGGCAACTCGCTTCTCAGTGATATATCTGTCTAGTGTTTATGTGACACCACTACCATCACCACCGTATTTGCTATACATCATTGCTGGGTGCTGGTAGAGTCACTGAGGGGGAATGGTAGCTGGAAATTAATGGAGGCTCTTTCAGCTAAAGCTGTGGTTCTGTAATCATAGTAGATCTGTGACCTACCATCATCCAGCAGCCCAAATTTGATTTGAATCAAGCAGAAACATATGATTGTGTTTATATCACATCAGCCAGAGCACACAAAGTGGTGCCCATGACAACTCTGGGTTTTTATCCTGGTTGTGGGAGGACAGATGACAGCTGAGCTGCCATAAAATTATGAGTGGTACAGACAGACAATACGTGAGCTGGTGTATAGTCTGCTGTGGAAAAGTTATCTCTTCAACAGAAAACTAACGTAATTGAACTCAAAGAGTTAGTTCAGTGCTTTGGGTCACATGGCTGTGGCATTTGATGTGGCTGTAGTGCCCTAATGCCAGATTTACTGTCTTCTTGACATGCAACCTTGAGGTCTACAGTTAAGACTCTGTGTATTCAGCATATTATTTCTCCCTATGAGAGGTGACTACTGCATTCACTGTGCAAATTAATGCATAAAGTATATTCATCTCTGGTGTAATTCATCTTTGTATTAGAGGTCTTGCAAACTATTTAACTCCCATCATGTGGTACATAAACCATGGGCAGGAGCCATTCTCACTTCTGGAAGGCAGTTTTCACTGGGCTGACAAATCAAAAGACACCAAGTGAGATGATGTGGTGCTGATAAACATGCAACAAAGTAATCTCTAAAACATCAGTCTGGGTGCAGACCTTTCTGTTTAGCAATGTTGCTGCAGTGGGGAAGCAATTCATGTCAGAGAACAGTATGGAAAGCTGAATTTTACCTCTTTTATTTATTTATTTATTTTTAAAGTAAGCAGTCATCTGGCCAAAGGCAGATGACATTTTCTATATGACTTATTATATATGTATCCCTGATGTTCTATAAAGTGACTGTGATTCACATCTCAAATATTAGAAGCTTCCATTCCCCATTAGCTGGTGGCTACCAACTATATAATTGCATAACCACAAAAGACTATGTTGAAGTAACATTTGTTAAAGTAACATTAAAGGGTCTGACTTAAAACCACAAAGGCTAGAGACTTCAGCACTGAAGCTGAAACCGCGGCTGTAATTCACTCAAGAGTCCACCACATATGGCATATATACTGTAAGACCACACACTATTCAGACTAGATCCCTGCAATATCTAGGCATCATTGGGAAACCAGAAGGTAGAATTCTTTCTCCAACTCTCTTTTTTTTTTTTTTTTTGGTGGGATTTCTGTGTTCAGATTAGGCCTTTATTGTTACATTAATCATGGATCTGTGATCAGATTTCTTATTTTGAGAAATTCTTGATTTTTCTTATGTTGTTTGCAAGGAATAAATAGACCTGGGGCACTGCTTTTATTTCTGTTTTAATATTTGTGATAAGAAGAGTGTATGCATTTTGCGTTTGAAACACCCTGAAAAATATCATGCCCCAATCCAGAAAAGTAGCAGTATTAATCCAGCTGCCATTCACTGCTATAACAAGATCATGCTGTATGCTTGCAATGAATGGGGAAGTATTTCTGAAAACTTGCTCTCCCTCAGCAAGATTCGTATGTCTATACTGCAGTTTGCAGAGGTAACTGGCAAGTTCTGTTTGAACAAATGCAGGTTCTGGACTAATACAGCTTTAAAAGGCCAGGTAACTTAACATTTGTGAAGCTCCGTGGCTTCATAGCTGTTCTGTCCCTTAGCTCTTTCACAGATAGCTCACATAGCTCTTTGCTACCCCAAAGTCAAATGACACAAAGCAAGATGTCAGTTTGGAGCTTTCTGTGTTACTCTTTTGCACAAGAATTCAGAGGATGCTATGCGATAACACCTATCCAAGTTATAATTGTTTCACTTAAACTGTGATACCACTGAAATGCTTTTAATGCTGTCATTTACATTTGAGTTACTGATTTATGTTAGCCTAGACCAAAAGAAGGTTATCACCTTCCAAAACAGTATTTTCATTCTGAAACACTCAATTTAAAAACAAGCAAACAAACAAAAAGGTGGATTCCGTTTTACAATCATGTCACTGCTTGCTTGATGAAAGAAATGATGAGCCTCAGAAAAAACAGCCTTTCTGATTTAAGCTATCATGGGCAACATAGCCTCTGCAGCTGCATACTGAGAGCCTGATTATCCCTTCAGATAGATATAAATTAGAAATGACTCTTTTGAAATCGATGAAGTAACAGAGTAAGTCCAGTGTAAATGAGAGGAGAATTAGAGCCTGTGTTATTTATTTCTAGCTGAAAGTAACTCATCCAGAGAGTTAGTAATTACATTTAATAAAATGTGTGTTCTGAAAGCTAAGGATTTCATATTTCATAACCAGAATATAAGTGTTTCCTTTGCACTTGGTCTTTTCACAGTTCATTTTTGCTGTTACAAGGAAAAATTTATAAGCCTGTATTGCCGCCTTTCTGCTGTCATAGAGCTGGACTCTCTGAAAACCCAGCAATCCCTAAGGGAAGCAATTTCAGACAGTGAAGTCGCTGCAGCCAAACAAAGACACCAGCAAGTTATAGACTACATACAGGTAATAGTCTGTTTCTGACTATTCCAATGAGGTTTTAAGGTGGCTTTCTTAAAAATTGCATAAGGCTGTAATTTGAAATCTAAATGGAGAATTATTTACAGACATCATAAAAAGAGCAGTTGTATCAAAAGTGCAATTCTACTTTTATGAAATTCAAGCCCAGAACATGATTTTCTTAGTTGTTGCTTTTATACAAGGATTTTTACGGGTAAAATCAAATGACAGTCATACTAGACTGTTATACAGAACTGTGTCAGTCTGCTTGTAAAACTCACTCTCATCTAATGCAAGGTAAACTAGTGCCTGGCTAGTACATGGCATTCATTTGGGTAATAGTTTTTCTCTGTCTTAGGGGATTGAGGATATTTTTCACCACAATAAATTGCCAATTAAAAAAAATAAAAATGAAAATTCAACTTAGGTTGCAGAAAAAATCTTTATCAACATTATCAGAGGGAAGAAAGCAGCTCTGTGTTAAAGATGGCAAGCTAACCCTGGAAGCATTCATACGTCTGTCCAGCACCGTGCAGAAATACTGTCTCGCTCCCCCAGTTATCTGGCTTGCTACAAGTGAGGTGCAGATCAGTTTACAGCTCTATATTCTTAATATACAAGCAACTTTATTTTGGAATAGGGGCCAAGATAACCACTTATTGATAACATGTTTGGCCCTCCATAATTATGAACAAGATGATAATATTTCTGTTCCTCCTTTTTCTGAATTCATATTGCCTTTGTCTCATCTACTTTAGAGCTGTTGCTAACCTGCAGGGGAGCAGAGAGAAATATACAATTGTGCTTGCACATCCCCACTATCTCCATCCTTCTTATCTTCCTATTCTCACACCTAGAAAATCTGGTTTCTCCCCAGCGTGCAGGAGCATCTGAGAAATTTTTACTCTTCACATCAAAAATAAATGTATGTACATATACACTGCATAGACAGTCCTATGTTCCTTTTCTCTGGTGTCTGAGTCACATATATACGCTGGGAAAATATGGGAGAATATTTTAAACTTCAGTGTTTTGTGCTGAATTATTGTGACAGTGTATTAGCCTTGTCAGATTTCCTCTCAAATGAAAACCAGCTGTATTCCACCTATTGGCAAAAATATCTCAGCCCACCACATACCGCAATCTTCAGTGGTGACCACAAAACCGCGAGAGCAGTTGTGTGATCCTAGATCTAAGACAGTGTTGAAGTTACTACACAAACCAAACATTGTAAAGAGCAAGGGAGTCTATATAAATGCAGTTCTGAAAAGGAGTCAGAGGGCGACTAAAAAGTTTTTTTAAAAACAACAACAACAAAAGCAGGTAAGAAGCACATAAGATAATCAGTATCTTTACCAGAATGTTAGTCATCAACACAAGAAATTTACAATGACTGAAACTAAAATTGAAGTTAAACTGCAATTTACAGGGCGTAATGCTTCAAATGTTCCTAAATTATTTAAGAACCACACTTCATTAAAAGGGCTGGTTCATTGTACTTTAAGATACTACAGAGTGGCATCAGGGAGAGAACCAACAAGATTTACATTTTCATAAACTGGAAGCAGTATGATTTTTTTTGGAGTTGCAGGAGGATTACAGAAAGAAAATATAAGATCCCCAATATCAAATATGTGAGAAGTTTGCTAACTGGTCACACAATTGTATTTTATTCATGGAGCTACACTGAAGTCTTGAAATTAAAGCAGATAATGGATGAACCATTTGCTTTTCTTATTGGTATACATTCTGAGCCCAAATTAACTCACTGGCAAGGCTTGCACTCACATCATTGGAGCCAGGATTTCACCTCTCCATAAAAATGGATGTACTCGGTTAAAATAGCTATCCAGTTATCCTATCTCTAACAGGGCTCTGCAAGAAATACCCTAGCTATTCTGGCTAATCTGCAGTATCCTTTGGCAAGAAATCTACAGTTTGAATATGCTTTTTGTGAAAAATTATCTTCAGCTAAGAGGATGTGCTGGAAAACTGGTCTTAGAATATATCAGTTTACAGTCTCCTTCAGTCTCCTTTTTTCATTGATCCCTCAGTTATTTCCCTTTTGATAATACTCAATGCACAAAGTACCACTCACTTTTGCCTGCCCATTTACTGACCCAAGGCTCTTTACCCTTTATATTCTTGCAGAACATAGGCTGTATAACTGCAAGGTAGTTTCCTACCTAAACACTGCAGTATTAATATGAAGGCTCACTGCTTTAAATGCAGAAGCTTCTGCAAGAAGAGAGGCACAGGGGAAGCTCTGGAAGAATACCGCAGCAGATGTATATTATATTCACAGCTTTATCTCATTCACTGATTGCAGCAACATTTACTCAGTTGTCAAAGATCTTGAATTGCCTGAAGAAATTGAAAGTCTTCATTATCAAAGACTCACAAGACGCACATTAAACAGCATCTTTGCATAGATACTTAACGCTGTATCCTGACATTGATTTAGGCACTTGTCTCTTATTGCCATCAACAGGCATGAGTTAGAACTGTCCTAGTATAGATTTATACTGTTAAAATGCATACAGGCTAAAAAGATAAGGGAACAGACGTGCAGTTTGTCTCACAAGTTTGCTGCAGCCCTTCACACATATACACGTGCACATATATTCTTCTGTTCAAAAACAGGGTTTGACGTGAGCATTCTGCTTTTGAACATAATCCTGGATTCACAAGAATCCTTGAGACATCTTGATTTCATTCCAATACAGAAAAGAAAAAAAAAAAAGAAAGAAAGAAAGAAAGAAAGAAAGAAAGAAAGAAAGAAAGAAAGAAAGAAAGAAAGAAAGAAAGAAAGAAAGAAAGAAAGAAAGAAAGAAAGAAAGAAAGAAAGAAAAAAATGACTACAAAATTAGTCAAACTTTATACTCCATCAAAAGATGGTTATCGTTTCTTTCTGTGTCAGAACTTAGGCCTAGATTCATCCCTCCTAACTACAAGTTCTTAGTTGAGGTACCTAATTTAAAAGTCTGGTCCTATGCAGACCTCGCAGTTCTGAATGAGAAAAAACACCTAACCAAAGGCAGGTCAGACCATCTAAAATCAGAAGTCTCCTGTCAGGGAGCCTGCTTATTTGCTGTCTGTTGGCAGTGACTACTCACCTACTTAGGCACTTGAAACTACACACTTCCACAAAATTAATATGCAGACTTAATTGTAGTTTTTCATCATTTCTTTTTTTCCTCAAAAGCAAATTGATGATATCTGGAGGGAAATGAGATGGATCACAGAAGCACTGCAGTATGCCAGATACAAGCAGCCAGCAGCTGGCCTACCAATAAAGAAGCTTGTGAATCTTTCAGAACACTCTCAAAAGAAAATCAGTTCAACCTCTTCACATCTAGATTGTCTTCCTTCACCACCCCCCTCACCTGAGGCTAGAAGCCAGAGGAGAAAAGCTGTGAGTGGTACGAGAATTTTGTTTATTCATCAAACAAAATATTTGAACTCACTTTTAATTATAACAGTTCTTGAATTTCATTTTATAAAAGGAGTATATTTTTCCAATACCTGCTAAGGTTATTTTAACAATCAATTTACCAATCATTTGCCACATACTATCTTGAGATCCTTCTACAGCCTTTACAATCTTTTTTTGTTGTTGTTTTTTTTGCTTTCAGCTACTCAGAATAATTGCTCATCATCAGCCAACTTTGTCATCCCACTATTCCAGATCATTTAATGTTCTGTCACTGACTTTACTACAATTAGTAAAGTCCATCCATAGTGAAAACTGCCTATTCCATTTGTTGTCTTCAGCAACAATCTGCTATAAATATATGGCAGGGGCTTTCCCTCTTTCTCAATTACAGCTTCATTTCTTAAGAATCTTTGGTAAAGAATCTTCTCAAAAAGCTCTTCAGAGATGGAAGGATGCCTGCATATTAGTGCTTCTTACACTGTGCATATGTTCACAGTCTTACTAGATTGGTGAGCCATAAATTACTAAACAAAAGCTACCAATTCTTTGTCATCACTCACATATTTGTCTGTTCTTTACCACAGTTTCTAACAATTTGTCCAGAATCTAAGTCAAACTTTTCCATAATATCCATTTGTCACCTTCTGTTTCTGTGATAATATAGCCATTTTCTTTCCGTGATTTGACTACTCTTCTGCTTTGGAGCAATTCTTTCTTATGCTCCTCTTGCTTTGTTTTAATAGAGCAAATTTTAGTGCCAGTGGTCCAGTTTGATTCAACAGCCATTTTCACATATCAGAATGCTCTCTGTGCTTTAGACAAGCACTTTAAAACACAAAATTACACAAATAAATACCTACTTCATTGGCCATTATTGCTTCTCTGAACAGCTGGAAAATTAAACTGATGAAAGAAATAGATCACAGCAAGTAAAAATGAAGCAAATTAAACAGTAGCACATAATTTGCTAACAGAAGAAGGACTTTGGATAAAAATGAAAGCCCTTATTCTGCTGAGCTGTCTATAAGCAATGAATAAGTGGAACAGTAGAAACAAAAGCAATAGATGCTGCATTATACAACAACCATGACTGTTTTGGTAATAATAATTTGTTTTATTTTGTTTTATTTTGTTTTTTCAAATTGGCACTTTTTTACAGTTAAGAAAAAAATATAAGTCTATTCTGATTAGACTAGGTTAAAAAAAAAAAAAAAAAAGAAAGATAGAAAGAAAGAAACCCAAAGATTATTGTGCTTTGATTCTTTCCATTATGTGGTGGCGTTCTTTCTCAGCACCTTGTGCTAAATTTTCCCTGTATTACAGACCGTGAACACAGAATAATCCTTAGCTCTGGCACCATGTAACCTACAGCATTATCTTGCCCTGCATGGGACTGATTCTTTATTGTTGCACTATACTGTAAATTACACTAGGTCAAAGTGAATAGCCAGCATTGTAGAAAATCTACAGGTTTTTTCTTTGGATCTATTACAAACTACCCACAGCTATGGAGCATTAATCTGTTCTATCACATATGCCACTACTTATTATGTTACTGATCTTTCAGTAGCCAAAGGACAGAAGAGATTTCAACGCCAGTGTGAGTTTTTTTCAACAAATTCACATTTGAATTGTGTGTGTCTGTTCTGGAGGTGAACATACAAAATTAAGCCAACAGGGAAAAAGGTAGTTTTGCTCACCTACCTCCATGCCTTGCCTCAAGGTTCTGGTACATAAATGCACTTGCATCGTACTCACAGTTAGAAGGTATCAATCTGCAGTAACTCAACCAACACCTTTAATAAAACCAGAACCTGGATTAGATTTTCTTTGTCTCCTAAATAGCCATCTCTGTGAAATTTGGTGAAGGTAAGGTAAAAGAAAACAGTTCCTTTCAGAACTTAATCCCAATTCAAATTCAAATTCTTTCCTCTGTTTAGTTGAATAAATGAATCCTCTCTGCTTTTCTTAATTCTGCCACCACCTCTGTAATACATCATTAAAAACTCCCTGACTACTGTCTTTTCTGTCACCTAGGCCCATACAAAATTCTGCAGAGGAAACAAATGTATGTTTTCAGGATTGTAGATATTATTCTGAATTAAGAAAACAAATACATAAATGACAGGTAAGCAGTTTTTCTCTTGTGCTCGTCTTCTTAATGTTAATGAGTTCTTTTTGCAGATTCCCAGCCCTGCTCAGATGAAGAAGGCTGCTCTGAAGTATTCCTTCCAACTGACAGTGACTATGACTCCAGTGATGCATTAAGCCCCAGAGAATTAGACTTGATTTACTCCTCCTCACATGACATATCCCAGCAGGCAGGCAGTGGCCTGGGTGGTAGCGCACCTGATGTTCTACAAGTCCACGACATGAAGCCTTGCCTAACATTGAAAGAAGGCCTGACAGAATGTAGTGCCTTTGATACTAATGCTGAACATTGCACAGAGTATATGAGCAATCTAACAGTGTCAGGGAATACATCAAAAAGCATAGACAAGTCCTCTAGCTCCAAGCAGCCACTGAGCTTTTTAGGGAAAAAAAAGCTAGGGAAACATCAACATTACAACTACTTCAGCAGGCACCATCGTTGGCTGCGTGTGCACAGCGAGACACAGTCTGCCTCTCTGTCTGAAGGCGTGTATACTCAGCATCTCATGAGATCTTCAGATTTATCTCAAGAACCTACCTCCAGTGAGCAGTTACAGATTCCCATTGATGGATCTCGGAGCGCTTTCTTACCTCATGCATCCAGCCTTCCAGAAGATGGGAAAGGCAAGTATGAGGAATCAAGGCAGAATGTCCATAGTATATATGTGGAACCTTATAAAACAACACTTCAGAGTGAAGAGGACAATCCCTGGGGAGCGAGCATGCAATCTGTAGAACATAAGGATGTGCACAATGCTATGCAACAGAAAATGGATCCAGATGATCAGTTGGGTTCTGCTGTCTCTGAAGTATTCAGCAGCACACTTTAACCCCAGATTTCTTCATTGCTTCCCATTGTTCCACAAGGAGATACTGAGCATCATACAAATAGGGCCATACTTTGAAAATCACTTGTAAAAATCCAGCTTCTGCAAATGGCAACTTGTGTCACTTTAAAGAATCCTAATCATTTGACTTCATCACCAGATATCTGGTGTTACAGCGGTATCTGTCATGATGCAAGCGTTATTATTTGCATTGGCAGTTTTGCAGGTAGGGTCCTGTCACCACATAGCAGAACACTTTGTGGATGCAAATCTAGTAATCAGTTTTTGCAGTTCTCTCGATTTTCACCTATCTCCGAGCATGTAAAATTTTAAGCACGAGTGGTTCTGACTGCAATGTAGCAGACTCTGTAACATCCTTGGTGTGCTCATGTTAGGACTGTGTCCTAATATTCTATTAACGTGTTTTCCACCATTTCCTATATTTTTTTCTATTTCTCAGCCCTCCTGAATATATATAGGTTGCATGTAACTAAAGTGCTAACTGGTCTAGTAATACAATCATCCCAGAGTTTCTAGCCAGTTACAGAGAAGTGAAAATTCAAAAGTTATCACTGACATTGCATGCACCATCTCTGAATGCTGCCAGAGCCTGATATAATAATTATCACACTGTTTGAGGAGTGGGCATTTTTTTTATTTTTATCTTTTTCCTCAGGAGCTCAGATTTAAAATAAGGTGGCAGGCTATTTTAAAGGCTTAAAAGGCAGTCAACCTTTGAGGTCAAGAATAGACAGAATGAAGCTGAGCTCTGAATGAATAACATGCATGGTCTATGTAAGATCAAAGTGAAGGTTGGTCTTTTCTGCTGCCCACCACACAAGAGTACATTTCTTTATGTTGCAGGCACTCTCAGGCAGACATTAGAAATAAATGTACCTACTTTTGGTCCTGAATATTCAGTGTGTATTCAGGGGTATTTGATCACTATGTCTGAACTTGGTATATTCTGGCAATTCCAGTTAGGGAAATTTGGGGTGCAGTTTGAATCTAAGATTTTTTACTTGTGCCACTGATAAATATTAATATCATAAGCAGGGTAGGAGATGGTGTTTTAGTACTCCATGTTTATTTAGAGGCAGATCGCAATGAGTCACGATTTTGTCCTTTGCAACTAGAATAAGACTTACAGTACCACAGAAGATGATCTCAAAAATGAATGAGAACCATAACATTTGAGTCACTGAGAAATGAACTAATGTAAAGAGAAACCCCAGCTGTTGCACAAGCTTTAATTTTTCTTAAACAGTTCTTGAAATTTAATTTTATAGGCCACATTCCTGCTGGTTAAATTCCCTCACTCCATGTTTGTGCAGCCTTCTACCTTTCAATTTTTCAGCCTCCAGGTGGATACATTCTAAGGCCTCCAATAAAGAGATTTGAGTTAAATAGTTGAGTTTACAAGTCCTTGAGGTGAAGGTAAGGATTTGGGCCCATGATCTGTGGTCCTTATTAAAATAGCACTTCCATAACCCCAGTGCTATTAAAATCCCTGTGAACTCAATCCATAAATTCAAAAATAAATGTTATTCACTATTTCATGCTTGGTCAGTATGCAGAAGCCAAGAAGAGTCCTTGCAGTGATATAAGGGCAAAAACTTTCTATAAGGGATTTACATGTTTAAGTTCTCTTTCTTTGGGGAGAGGGAAGTTAACTTTTTGCACCAAAACTATTCATTACCTGATCCAGTTCTCAGTGAGGATGGAAAGACTGCCGTTCACCTCCACAGGCTTTGAATGGGACCCATACTGAAAATTCCTGTGGGTGAGAAGATGGGGGGAGCAGAAGTGTCAGTGCCAACTTGCAGCTATAAGGACACACAGTGTGCATTTTATGCCACATGGAACTGCACGGGAAAAACCCAACTCACAAACCATAGCACCAAACAGTGATGTTTTACTGTCACTGAAGGCAGCAACAGCTTGTTACCTTAGATTATGTTCATTAGCAGAGGGCTCTTTACCAGGGAGAGCCAGAGCTATGTTGTATTCAGAAGTCAAAATAATTTACGTCGTTTTCTAGTATACAGCATCAAGCTCATGCTCCCCTAACCTGTTTAGCCTCTAAGAAAAACTGCCATATAACTGTTTCTTAAAGAATAAAAATAACAATATGCTGAGGCAATATGTTTTTGCAGAAAGTGAAGAGATAAAAGAAGATGTTCCTAAAATGAAACCCACCTTGCTTTGCTTTGGCTCTTCAGGAAAAAATAAAACAAAAAATACCACCGCCACCAACAAAACAAAAACAAAATAAAACAACAAAAAACAGTGAGGGCAAGAAGTAGTAAAATCTACAGCAGAAGAACTGGTATATACTGCTGGGTAGATAAGGATGTAAAAATCTGTTATCTACTCCTGGTGCTGGGCTTTTCCAGAAGTAGTCAAGTATCTAATAAAGAGCTGGATTTTTTGCTGGCAGAAAGGGCTTGACCTTATCATAACTTTGCCTACCTGCAAGTGCTAAGACAGAATCTGAATCTAGGACTGCAAATGCCAGACACAGTCTACACCATCTCTATTTTAACCTTGTTATATGGAAGTGGTGTTTATGTGATGTCCAATGAGGCATACTTCCTTTATTCTATTGAGGCTCTTCCAAAGTTTTAACAGTCAAACTAGTAAATGATAGTTCTGGCATTAAATACTTTTGTCTATAAAGTACTGAGTTATCTTTTGAGAGAAATATTTGTCTTTGTTCTGAATTGCTATTCCTGCCTATTCAGTGAGTCAGCGTAAAGCAGCTCCTTAAAAGAATAGTAATGAACACCCAGAAATAAATACATGTAGACAGTAAAAAGAGATGTCTTTCAAGCACTGTCATAATACTAATCATAATACTTCTGTGGTTCTCTTAGGAAGATCACTCTCATGTTTCACAAGCAACTACAGCAATTCAGAAGAATCCTGTGAAATTCAGCACTTTTATCCCCACTTCATAGAGGCACAGAAGGATTCAGTGACTGCTCTGAGTAGACCTCAGAGTAAAGGCTCAAAGTAAGGAATCAATTTAAAATTAAGAACCTAAACCATTGCTTTAATCACTAGGAATCCTCCCTCCAACTGGAGCTAGGGTCCCTCCCTGAGGATTCTTGCACAGACACAGGAAACACTGAGGCTCAGAGCCCAGAGCATACTAGAATTCTGTGAGTCAGCAAACAGCTCGTTCAAATGAGTCTGTACCCACTTACGTCAGCTGAAGCTCAGCTGTAAAGTGGGTACTTAGGTTTTGCAAACTTCTGGATATGTATCTTTCTTATTCTTACATCTTGGTACAGAACTTTTGTCCTGTGTTTTTCAGGCAGTTTACCTTTGCCTAGGCTGAACCCAGTCCCTCCTAATTTCTAGGCATGACTTGACTGGCCAGAAAAAAACATTGTGCTTAAATATTATAACCCTTCAAAAAAGCAGTAGACATATATCTCCTGTGGTCTGCAACATTCCTGTTTCTTCTGGTAGGAAGCTAGATATAGGTAAACAGCAAGGTTTACACTAACAATTCTTTGTATATACAAAAAGGCAGACCGCTTGTGGACAGTTTGCCTGAAGGTACCTGTGGCTAAAAAGCATTTATTTCCCATAGTTGCATGTGTTTTTGCTTTGCCTTTAGATATTAATAAACAATTTGATTTTCTATACAATAAGGGCACACACAGAGAAATCTATAAATTAATGCTTCATTGCTTAAGTATGCATATTTTTAAATACAGGCATTAAAGGGGGTGCAAAGGGATATAATTTTTATCTTGAACATTTATGTTTAGAGTGTTTTGGAAAGAGATGGTGCATCTTTACATTTCGTGTGGTATAAAGAAATGCATTAAGTTGCTGGTCAACTCTTTTAAGGTGTTCAAACACATGGCTCATGACTGTTACGTAAAACTTCAATACAGCCTTATTAACAACAAGGGTATAGTGTATTTGAAAATATGGTATACAACTTGGAAACTTACTCTGAATTTCTCTGAGGTGTTGAACTTTGCCATCAGCAAAAAGTATTTTTAGAAAAGGGGCCTTGAATTTTCAGACAACAGAGACTTCATCAAGGTAGGTCTCTGATTTTTCCACTACAGCAAAACATTAAATAGCTAGAATACTTTATTTTTAAATATAATTTATCTTCTGATTTCATGAGGGAGAATTCATAAGGCTAAATCATGCCCAGAAGTGTGAAGCAGAGCTGTTGGACAGTATATTCTCTGCAAAAACTGAGAGCAACATTCCCCAAAGTGGGCTGAAGAGTTATACTCTGGAAATGTGCTCAGGCCAGTAGTTTGTCCCTCGTCTGTGCAGACAAAAACTACAGGCATCTCTTCTAAGTGTTTCCAAACTCATTAGGATTTTGTTAATTTTGTTGTTGATTTTACTGGACTTTGGAGCAGGCCCCATATACTTTTGGAAGCTGTGTAGATGCTACTAGCTTGGAGCTCTTACCCAGTTTACTGTCTCTCATACTGTGTTTTAAGGGTGTTGTAAGAGTCACGCTAGAATATTTTCCTCAGCCTTTTTGTATCACAGTGTCTTGGGCAAGATTTAGCCTTTAAACCAGTCATCCTATAGAAGGGTAAAGTGTTATTAAGCTTTCTGTGACTAGTCTACATAAAACCTCTTATTTTGTTGATCAAATAATAACAGATTTTTATGTTTATTAATTATTATTATTTTTTTGACAATTTACATGATCTAAAATAAGAAAAAGTGATTGGTGTAGCACTAACTGATCTACTTTCAAACTGTGAATTGTAGTAATTTATTAAGCAGATGTTAAGGTAAACATGCAGACTTTTTGTGTTTTACTTTATATAAAGGTCAGTTTGGGCCCAATTCTGCTCTCATTGGACTTCATTCAAGGTTCTTTTGCACCAGTGTAAATCAAGAGTAGTTCCACTGAAGCTGAGTCAGGTATTCATCAACTTGTATAAATCAGCAGAGCTCCACTCACTCACAAGGCTGGCTCAATACCAGCCAAGGATCTGGATCAGTGGAGTCATCATAAAAACAACACAGTTACACTGGTGTAAAAAATGATACGTGTAAGGAAGACAAAAGGGTTTTTATCTCATGGAATATTCCCCTGGATGTCAAAGACACTGTTGTCTGAGAAGGGCGCAGAGAGCGAGCCCACCCTGCTGCTGTGTGGTACTGGGAGAGAAACACATAGGGCATAACATACTGCTACGTTTTGTGGTAGGGACCAAATTTCTCTCCCATATTATGCAAATGAATCCCCTACTGAATGCAATGGGAGTTCCAGTTATTTCACTGAAAAAAATGAAGACTGTTTAGGGTTATTGGGGGCCTGAGGGAGGGCAAGAGGGGTTGTTTGTTTTTTTCCCCTCAGAGAAAAAGTAATTTAAGTGAAATGTGCAAGGCAGTGTTTAATTGCTTCCTGCCTTGTTTGTACATAGCAATTTGGCTGTTTATTGGTTGTCTTTGTTCAGATTTTTATTGTAACTTGTTGCTATATATGCAACCAAGCGTATGTTAAAGTTTAAACTTTGGTACATAATAATGCACAATTTTATGTGCTTTAAAACTTTGTAAATATATAGATGAACAATGTATGCTGTGCTAACTGTGATCTTGGGACTTGACACAACAATATTTTCATGCATATGTACCTACAAATGGTTTGAAAATAGCAAAATATATATTGAGGATGGCCATGAGCCAAGAGTAAATGAGTGCCGTATGACTCATGCTTCTTTAATAATTCCTGAAAGAGGCATGTATAGTACATAAAATAGACAATAAAAATAATTTTCAAGACTACAAATATTTTTTATAACTTCAGATATTAAATACTATTTTAGAAAAAAGATTGGTTGGTAAAAGAAATCTTAGGTTTATTCAAGTGAATCATTGTCATAAAAATGTTCTTAACAGAATTTTTTGTTTGATCTAATATCATAGAAACCTAGCTCTTTTAAGCTTTAGAAGATCTGAAGTGCTCTTGCATTCTTACAGCTCCTATGATCTACTAAAATCATGTACTTCAAGTCTTCTCTCTCATTAACAAAAACAAATGCTACTCTATGCATTCACATAATCCTAAATACCATGTGTACTTCTGTATAATCTTTAAGCTGTATTTTTTAAATAGGTTCTGACCATCATCAAGTATCCATGTACGTGAGCCTTACAATCAATGGAAATCTGACTGTAGTTTGTGTTCTTTCTCTGAATTCTTTTATTTTTACTGGAAAATATTTTTTTTTCTAAAGCCAAGCTTTGAAATATGGTCTCCAAATTTTGATTTTGATCTGCATTGTCAGAAATCTAAATTGAATGGGCATGGCTTCCAGACTTTGTGGGTGAAAACAATCTCCCATCAAAATCAACAGAAATTGAAAATCATTTTATATAAATGTAAATGCCTTATTACAGGAGTGATATCTGGGTAGTCGTATTTGAAGCAGCATCTTTCTAATCTGTGTATTATACCTGCAGAAGAAGTTGCTGGCATATAAGCATCTTCACATCAAAGAAATGAGCAGCATAAAAATCTTGCAGGCTGACAGACTGAGCCCTCTTTTTCTAAGCCTGAAGGCTCTCATACAGGCTCTGTAGCTTTCAGCTGTCTATTTACAATGACAGCCAGACAGAATCTGCTGTTTATTTCTGGTGTGAATCCATGCTTTCAAGCCACATTGTAAACATACGGTATTGTGGGTATATATAATCTGGTTGTAGTCGAGAAACACCCCAGATATTACCTACTGAGGCAACTACCTTTTAAAAGCGAAACATGCTCTTCTGTTGTGATTCTGTTTTTCATATATTCTTATACAAGGAAAAGAAAAGCACAGCAACATTTCTAATGTAGTATAAAATTGGGTTACTCTATGTAAGCAAGAGAAATAAGAACAATCCCATTTTGAATGCTGCAGAGACACTGGAGGGATTCTGCTTGGGGTAATTGTTCACTTTGTTTCCAAGACAGAGGGGTTGCTAAATGTATTTTAGCTGCCATGTTGTCTGAGCCTTTCAATGTTTCATGCACTGTTCTCCCTTTTGTACAGATAATGCCATAACTGGAAAAAGTGACATGCCCAAGGTCACACAAAGAGCTTGTGACAGAGCAGGGACACAATTTTCTGGCTAGCATCCTTACTACAGCATCAGTCTGTTATCCATAGCTTGTGCAGAAGTATATATGGTAATGCAAATGTTGATGAATGTTTGTGTTTCAGCCATGACATGCCAACTCAATGCAAGCTTCAGAATAACAGCATCCTACTGGAGTATCTGTGGATACTTTCACACATGGAAAATATCTGAACTAAAATGCAGCCAAAGTGGAGTTAAACAACAGAGCAAAATAATTCTTAAAATGTAAGATAAAATGTGACTGTCGGTCATTTCTGCTTCCTTGATTTTTAATTTCAAAACATTAAGATTGTTACCACGTTTTCTAAGTTAGTACAAGAGAAAAACAAATGTGAGCCTTTAGTCATGTACAGTACTACTATGAAATTAACTACAAGAAACACCACAAGAGAAGGATTTATTGTGTGCATGTACTTAAATGACTGATGCACTTTCGCATGTACCATGCATTTTTAGGGCCAGGTTGTTCACATGTTTTGCTTGCCCAGAGCTAAGATTTTATCTTTCCATGAGAAGATAAGTGGGTGAACAGTGCGATTCCTACAGACCTTTATAGCAAGTTTGCCATGGTTTCTTGCAGACAGTGCTGTTTTATAATTGCCTCTGTGTTCTATGCTGTTTTATTGAAACGCTTTTAAACCAACTGGAAAGAAGCTAAAAAACTCTTATAGGCATGTTTTTGACTTGTTCTTCTGACAGCAAAAGATAACCATTTTGTTGTTCCATTCAAATGTATTAACTTATATAAACTGTCATCTCTCTGAGCGAACTATTAATGTATTTTTTAATTTTGTCTTTAAATAAAAGTTTGGGGTTTGATTTTTTTTTGCTTGCTTATTTTGCAAACACACAAAAAAAATCTTTATTAATAAGCTTCACCATTTCCTTCCCCAGACCACTGTTTAAAATCTCAAAGAAATATATGTTCATTTTGAAAGGAGCTACTAATTGTTTTCTATTTTCTTAGCTTTTTAATAAATATTAAATATTAATTAATTAGTCCTAATTAATCAGTAGGATTTATGTTACTATCTGTGTGAATTACAGATTTAATTATTCTGATTTTTATTACAGCAATAATTCAGGGGAAAAAAATCAGGTAATATCCCCTCCCTCCTTCCACTCACATACACACTCAATTGCAGAGAAAAAAAAATGGTGAACAGCAATTCTTGAGCTTTATAAACTAACAGTAAAGTCAATTTAAAGACAAGCCAGTCTTTTTTACCAGTAAATATTAATGCTTATTTTTGGAAAGAATCAAAATAGAATCTTTGAATTTGGTGAGATAGATGGGCATTCTTTTGACTGAAACAATGTGGTATTTTCAAAATAAATGGTTTTGAAATTCCAGTCAACTAAATTTGAGTTCCCAGGAAAAAAAAGAAAAAAAAAAAAAAAAAAAAAAAAAAAAGGCAGTGCCAAAAGGTTTTCTCTGGTGTTTGCTGTTTGTAATCGCTTTCTGAAAATACTGAAGCAAAACATGTTAAGTGTGGATACCTACATTAAGTGATGAGAAATACATAACAGATACCTGGCTTGAAATACCCTTCTCAGAGAAATGCCAGTATCTGCCACTGCGGTTGATTTTAGCAGAACTCAGGAGTGCTCCATATTTCTAAAAATCCAGCATTTTGTTTAAGTGCTTAATACTAGTCACATATGTACAGGAATGTAGCTCTAGTTCCCCTCAGCTGTGATCATTTCTGGACCACAGAAGATTTTGCCACCTATTTGGAGGTTCTTCACAAGACCCTGTATGGCATTCACCTTTTCCCATACTACTTTTTAAATGCTTGACAAAGGAAAATGTTGCTTTTTTGTTTGGCTTTTTTTTTTTTTTTTTTTTATTCTTTGAAATGGTAACAGAAAGGAGCTAAATCAGAACTTCAGCTTGAATAGTTCAATACCCAATTCTTGTGGCTATACGTGCTTTGAACCTGGCCCCGGAAGAACAAGGATTTTTTCAAGCTTTCTTCTGGGGTACACTTGTTTCTTCCCCCTTCTGTGCTTTGTGGGTTCATTCTGATCCCCTTCTCTCTCGTGGCTCCATCCTGATCCCTCTCTTCCTTGAGTCTGAGTCACAAGAGCAATAAGGCTGCCGGCTTCGACCTACTCAGTGCCTCAGCTGTTAGGGTAAAGCCCACGCTCCCGCGGGACTCACGTTTGAGTACAACTCCAGGATTGTCAGGGCTCTGGCTGGCAGTGCTGCCGAGGGGACAGTCTAAGGCTCTATTTTAATCTTCTGGAGTCCAGCCAAGCACTGGAACGGAGCTGCCAGCACGAGGGGGGCCCTCCTGCTCACTGCGCCTGACCTCCCATCAGGAGAGGTGCTGGTGTGTTCCTTCTCAAACTACTAGGGCTCTTTCATTGCGCCTGACCTCCCATCACGAGTGCTACCAGGGATCCAGCTTCGACTACTGGGGGCTTAACCCTGGCTCTGATCCAACACACGAGTTACACGCTGCTTGTCTCCAGATGTAAGATCCACCAACTACAGATGCGTGCACCACAGGCTCAGCTGGAGGGGGCTGTTTCAGGTACTGACTTCTCACCGTGTCTCACAGAGGTGGACATACCCTGCATGATTTCAGCAGTGCTGTACCTTTCTTTTTGGATAGAACTGCGTAACGAACATTTTACCATGTGCTCATGGTCCTAGCCTGAATCCACACTCCTGCAGCTGACTCTTTAGCCTGACAACAGATGAACATTTCTGACTTTATCCTCACAGGTGGTAATTAGGTAAAAAGGACACTGCTGCATGCTGCAGCTCAGGAGTGGACAAAGCTTGAGGATGCCTCACCCTGTCTTAAATGCCCAGAGATGTGAATTTTACAAAAGGCCGTTACCGAGGGCAGCAGGTCAGCTGACGGCAAGCCAGTTTTGCTGCTCAGCTTTGCAGAGCTCCACTTCAATACAAATACAGCTATGACCTCTTCTAGAGACCAGACGCCTACCTTACGCTTTAACATTTGCTGTGTCTCATAAATAAATCACTCCCCAAACCAATTTAATACACCTTGCGATTTAACTTTTTGTTAAAGAGGAATGTATTTTTATTAGCCTTAATCAGTATGACCTTATTAACTAGTTTGCTACTAAATACACCCATTGGGTTGGCTCTGCAGAGCCACAGTTACGCCTGAGCAACCCAAAGCCTATGCTGCTGTTGTAGCAGCAAACATGCAGTGAGATAACGCTTTTTTGTGTGGACAGTCGGGGGGCCTTTCGGGCACCAGCAGACCCGCAGCAGCTCAAAAAAAAAAACACGTTTTACACGTTGTTTTTTACAGGATTTTCCTGACCGCATGGCTGCGGTGGCCGCTGAGGCGCTGCTGGCCCGGACCGCGTTCCCGCCGCGCCTCGCCTGCCGCCCTCACAAAATGGCGGCGGGCGGGAGCTGCGCCGCGCCCTCTCCTGGGCAGCCTGAGGTAATGGTGGCGCCGGGCTCAGCTTCGGGCACCCTGCGGGTCGTTTTATGTGCCAACGGGCTCTGCGGGGGGCTAATTCGAGTACCTATAAACGAGCGGGGTGAAAAAAAAAAAAAAAAAGGAACAAACATCCCATGTTTTCCACAGCTCCAGGGCACTCAGCCGCAGCCTGACAGCGGGCCGTGCGCTGGACATGGTGGAGCATCGCAAGAAATTGGCCTGTGTGGATCGCGTCCTCATCGCCAACTGCCCTGGCTGCTGCCCCCCAGGTAGTTATTGTACTCAGGGCTCGTTGTGGTCCCGGGGGTGGTGGTTTCTGACAGAAATGAAGTGGTTCGTGAGAGAAATGGTGACTTGGCGGGTGTCACCGCAGCGCCTCAACATGGAGTCGCTGCGTCTCAATCTCCTCATGGCCATGGCCACCAGCCATCATTCACCATACAGGGATCCACATCTTGCCTTAGAAAAGCTTTCCAAATCGAAAGAGATCAAAACCCACTGCTCTCAGTCACTAGAAAACACCTGAAGTGCAAAAACATTCAGGCATGGGCCCACATGGATGAAGTATGTCGACAATCCGGGGCAGTTTGTGTGTCATCTGCGTTGAATGAGCCTCTGGAACACCGTTTGTACATGCATTCTTGGCAAAGTTAAACTCATAAAGATTACTCTGTTTGAGTGATTGCATCACCACAGGTTTCTGAGTGACTCCAAACTCAAGATGCATATTTTAAATCTCCCCTGCTGTTGCTGATAATTTGTTCCATATTTACCATATTACTTAGTACTTGCAAATGGTGTTTTTTTTTTTAGAATGTAAATGTTAATTAAATTAAATAGCCATGGCCACAGCAGGTCAAACTCATCTCTGACCCTTAATGTCATTGCAATCCTTGCTTTTAACTTTCAGGATTAATTTAGCACTATTGACTTCCTCCTTCATTAATCCATTGTACTTGGAAAGAAATTGAGCTTTCTTTCATGTTTGATCTCAGATAATAATTATTTCTATGTTGAGCCTTGTGTTCACATTGGATCCTAAACATTTTCAAAGGACTCAGCTACTGAAACTGTATCATTTGCTAAAATATAACTAGGTGATGCATAGAAAATACAGTTCTGGACTTTTTCAAAGACCACAGTTCTTCTGATATCTACATCTGTAAAGGGAGGATTTGGGTAAGAGTTTAAGTAAAATTAGAGTAATATAAAAGTTTAATGCAACAAGCTTTTAAAACTACATTTACACAGCTGGAGTTTGTATGGCAATATTTTACCTTAGGTAAAGCTTAGCAAACTCCCACAGTATCAGGAAAAGGAGCATTTCAGAAGAAAATTATCTCATGCACAGGTCTCTATAGTAATTTCATCCAATGCTTGGTATTGTAGCTTTAAAATCCATTGAAAAAATAATACTAAAAGTGCCTTAGTTATCATTTATGAGTAGAATATTCTTTATGTACTTGATGATAATTTTTACTTTGGAGCAAGTATGAAGTCAATGAGATCCATGCTGTTGGGCCCACTAATGAGCAAGCTGGTGAGAGGTCCATTGTTTTTGTGACACATAGATTTATTACTTCACTTTCAACAAGTTCTACATTATTTGCTAAATCAATTTACGTAAAAACAGCTCAACCAATGCTGAGAAAAATATTTTAGTTTTGGCAATTAATTTTAAAAACAAACTGAGGATTCGCTTTAGCATCCACTGAAGCCATGAAAGCTGGAGAGAAGTCAGCTGTCTTGAGCAGCAACTACCTGATTACATTCCAAATCGTCAATAATCTAGTTTTCAGCTTTCATGTTAAAAATCTCATTTGAAGTGGCAAATTAATGCCTTTCACTGGTATTTTTCTTGGTAAATGTCTCCTCCACTTGTGTTTTAATGAATTATTTTAACTTTAATTCTTCGCCAAATTACCAGATTTACCACATACAGGTCCATGTTAATGCATATTAATATGCATAATAAAGTATTTCGTCCTGTTCAGACTTCAGAAGGTTCAGAAGGATCAGCAGAGATTTATAAGAATGATTCAGGGATTGGAAAACATAGCTTGGAGCAAGATACTTAAGCAACTCTTTCTAGTTCATTTAACTAAGAGGTGACTAAGAGCTATTAGCTCCTATTCGGTGTGTAGGTTTGTGAGATGGATGCTTCAGACTGTAAAGGTGCCTTAACATTGACAAGAAACTGCGTTGTGAGACCCAGTGTCTGAATACTGAAGTTTTGAGCAGAAGTAGCGAGTATAAGTGACTGTTGTGGAAACTTTACTGAGAATCAATGTGCCCTTTGCATTGAACTGCTTCTCTAAATTCACATTTCTGATTGGATATGGAAAAATTAATTAACCCCCAGATACAGTTTTTTAAGTAAGGGAAAGACAAGAAAAAAAAAAAGGGCTTGTGATGATCTCTAGAAATATTTTTAATACATCTGCCATAAGATACATATACCACAGCATGTATTCCCATGAACAAT